CTACACACATGTTCGTATAGCTACATTTATCCTATGAACAGTATACAACCATTTGTACAAAGCACTTGTTTTTCTAACTTGATTTTTTTTTTCTAAAAAATAACAGTACTGACCAATGATATTTGGATTATTTGGTGTTGCTTTGTAATATTACTATATGTATACATATAAAAAACAACTTTAAATAGAGTTCAGCTTGGCAACGGTGAGATAGGTGGTCATTTTTAGGGCAGTGAGCTCCTGAGGCAATCCAGTAGCAGGACGCCCGTCAGAATGCGGACTTCCATTTTTGGCCTGGCTGGGTGACTCCTGTTTACCTTTCTGTGAAGAGACAGCTATTGCAGAGGGGGGCATCTTTTCATTCCTAAGGCTAGAGGTCTCAACATCTATTTCCACACAGTAGGGTGAGGGATCAGACTTCCTGGAGTCAGGGAGACCTAACAGTTGAGGAAAGGAAAAAAGAGATTTATAATGTGTTGCACCATATGTAGAACCAATGGGAAATGTCTTTTTTGATGACACTTTACTTGAGGGGACATGAATAATGTACACACTTACTTAATGCATTAATTAACCAGTAACTAATTGTTAAGTACTGATCCTATCATGACAGTTCATATATTTCATGGGGAAACCTATGATTTGCTCATGATTTGTTCTTGAGTAGCAAATGATCTAAGTAATTTTTGCCCCCTCATGAGGTCTTACCATTAACTAATTAGTTAACTGGTAGTGCCTGAATGAAATACGTGAACTGTCATGATTTATTAATGATGAATGAACATGGGCTCAGTATGTAACGAACACTTAGTTACTGGTTAATTAATGCATTAAGTAAGCATGTACTACTACATTGTTCATGTTCCCTCACAGAAAGGGACTTTTTTTTTTAATGGTTAAAAGCTATTAAGTAGACAAATGTAGCTGAAAAAAATATTCGATACACAATATAATAAATGCTGAAATATTTCAAAATTTCAGTAACAAAGAAACCTTACATATTCAGATAATAAATACTATTCCATTACACTACTTTTGTCTTAAATTCCAAACTGTCAGAGACAATATGAATCGCTGATATAATTTTTCCCATGTCTGAAGTACTGCTGTAGGTGGAATAATTCTGCGAATCAGATTAACTCCCTCAGGATTCTTTCTGGTCACTAGTCGTTCAGCCCCTATTACCACAATGAGACCAAAGTCCTGATCATCAATACGCACCATCAGTCCAGCAGTCCACTTCTGCAATCAACAAACTGGACTTGCTCCCTCTCCACTCTGCCAAGCACCAGCATTTGCTTTTCCATGTCAATCACACACTGGAACAACGCAACGAAAGAGCAAAACTATTGCAGTCATTATATTAATTGCATGCCTGAAACCAAAGGGAATCAAGGTAGTAAACTCTTACCCTCTGTGATTTCAAGGTTCTGGCCCCAAGAGACATGAAAGACTTCTCATGTTCTGCAAAGATATATTGAAATGACCTCAGTACAATGCAATTTAAGTGCAAAATTTGAAAAAAAAAAAAAAAGCAACCATGCAGTTTTTGTCACTAATTACAGCCTTTGACCTACCGACGACTGTCACTGTGCACTCGATCTTCACTTGTCCAATTACCAGCGTGACTTTCTCGATGTGCCCCTGAGGCTGGAGGTTACGCCACAATGGCAAGGAGTCCATCTCAGTTTTGTTCATGTTGACTCTTTCCTTTAAGCTGAAAAAGACGGTACATTTCTAAGTAATCTTCAAATGGCTATTACAGCAGCAGAAGCAGGACTTTTTAAAAAACTTGTCATAGTTTGGGGCCAAAATAAATTCCTCGATATCCAAAAAATGAATAGGAATATAACGTGTTTGTAAGGTAAGAAATGATTCGTTATGGAATAAAGTATGTATTCTTTGTATTCTTTTTCGGAAAACACCCCCCCCCCACCTCCATGTGTGTGAGTTTCTGCTCACACACAACTTTAATTAATAATTCCGATTCCTTCTTATTATTTAATCATACACATGATTTTAAATAGCTTTCAATAATCTATATTTTTAATGCAAAATTTCATTTTATCCTTTGTCTTCGTTAACATTTAAGCAGCTCTAAAATAAAGAAATCAAGCGTTTGGTTTATGCACTGCTTACCCGAGTCTTTCAACACATGCTGTGGACATGAGGTTGGCCTTGCAGCCAGTGTCTATCAGAACCTTCGTCTCCCGCCCCCAACACTGAAGTAATAGAGGGAGATGGCTGTCATCAATTACCAACACATCAGCTTTAAATGAAAGCTATTGGCACGAAAGGGGGACGGTTAATTAAGTTACTCGCTTGCAGGAAGCTGTTGGGTACCTTGCAGTTCACAAATACATAGTCGTCCTCCTCGGGCTGAATAAAGCTCTCCTGCTTTCCCAGGTGAGACCCGATGCTTTGCAGTACAGCACCATTGTTAGGGGGTTTAACGCCGCGATTGTTCTGCTTGCATCTCGACATATTGGCGTCCATCAGCCGTCTCTGTAAAATATTATGTGGTTGCTGCAGAAAAAAAATAAATGAGTCTTCCAGTTGATATTTCTTCAGCATAAATCCAATACTTTGGTACCTCCCTGACGACTGATATCATAGACATTCAGAACACGTCCGCTATTAAAGAGGAAAATGTTTAAATTCATCGGCCTTTGCCTTATGTCTGTTCACCAGATGAAAAATTAAATACAAGGAATAAGTAGTTACATAATCATACATTAGATTTGCGGGTTACATTTCACTTTAGAGGGCACAAATAATGTAGCATTACGTTATTACTTATGTATTAATTAAACACAAAGTAAGTCTTAGTAACATACTGATCTCTTGTTAATTCATGATTAATGAATCGTGACGCATGTTTTATCTCGAGCAGTTTGTTACTGTATGTTAATTCTGTAAACCTTTGTGATCTACTGAAGGAACTATACAGAAGGAACAAGAAATTAATAACGAATAACAAGTGAAATACTGAGCTCAGGTCTTAAGTAACGACTATATTTGTTTATGATTTGTACTTCAATAGTAACCGATCGAGTTAATACAAAGTATTTGTGCCCCACCCCCAAAAGTGTTATTGATTTGCATATATGCAATTCATGCGTTAAGTTGCTCATATGTAGGTACTCCGTCCCCCCACGCCTTCACCACCCCGTTATCCGACACCCGCAGGGCAGTGAGAGACCCCCGGGAGATTTTCTACTGTATCCCCCGTCCTCTGCGGAGCCGCTGCTCCAGCACCATGACAGCCTTACGTAAGAATCTTCGCATCTTTGTATAAATGCATGCAGTTGGATTGTTAATTGTCATTCAAAACTGACGATATATATTTACTGAAATTGTTCAGCATACCAGAGTAAAACAGCTGTTGATGTTTACCAGCGCGTCAAGTCCATGAGGATGCAATAAATCACCCGCAATAAAGGTCTTAATGGGTAATATCGTATACGAACGGCAAAGTAAATTCAATCGTCAATTTGGATGCCTGTACTAAAAAAGAACTTGCATGAATAAAATATATTCCCAAAATACTACATTTACGTTATTTTACTTAAAATGTGGCGCTCTGAGTTTTCCTTATTAAGGCTTTAAAAGCTAAATTGCTCTTGATTTGCACCCTTCAATACTTCTACTTTAGTGACCAAGGACTCTGGATGACGTAGAATAAAAACGTCGCCAAAGACGATGCTACCAAGTTTATACATTTAGCAACAAAACCAGTGTTACCATTTCCTTGGAGGTTCCCAATTTCTTGAGTCCGTCTAGGGGCAGTAGGTCGGCAGAGTCCTTGTGAATAAACTGCAGGGTCTGCTTCATCCTCCGTTGCTGGCGTATGGCTGCGGATTCCCGGTTCTCCATGTTACCGTCACTCCGCATCCTGGGGTGAAGCATCGCAGCTCCGAGCGGCGGGGGAAGCCGGTGCGATCGCCGCTTTATATGAGGACAGGTGCGGGGTGTTGACGTACGTGACTCGTGTCGCACGATGACTAAGATCGAAGTCACCGGTCACATCAGACTTCAAGAAATGGGTGTAGCTTCATGGGGAGAGCCGCTAGCCTCAAATCTGTACGGTAACACTATTGCGTCAAATAATCGATTATCTTTTCCCTCTGTTACATAATACTGACTAGAAGGAGTTCCTTTATTAAGACTGATTTCTATTCAGAAAAAATGGGGAAAACAGACATTTTCAAGTCACGACAGTAGTCGTCAAAAAGTGAGGTTTTATTCTGCCAAGGTTTCAATAATAGGCTTATCTATTTTAGATTACAACATAACATCAAAATTCTGACTTACAGTCAGAAGAAAAAGGTCTAGTCTTTTGGTATGAGTATATATAGGGCAGTGACAAGGAGTCACGAATATTTATTACTAATCAGATGTGCAGTTAACCAGCTATATAATGATATATATCATGAACACCGCTGCATGAAGCACAATAATACTGCACAATAAATTTACACTAAAATGGTGTGTGAGTGGATGGCGTGTGAGTGTGTCCTGCAATGGGTTGGCAACCCATCTTGGGTTGTTCCCTGCCTTGCAACCATAGCCTTTGTGACCCCCTCAGACCCTGAATAGGACATGCGGTTACAGAAAGTTAATGGGTGGATGGAAATAAATGGGATGGTTTTCATTGAAATAGTCAGCGACAAGTCATTGGTTGCTGTGTACTGGCCCTTTAAGGGGAGTGACGCTAAGAAAGGAGAAATCAGACAGTCCTCCATCTTTGTGAGAAGAGCTGCAGGTGAAGGTTTCACTGTCCTCAAGACCCAGTTCCTCACTTCTGCAGCTCTCTGCCTCTGACAACCAGAAGAAGCTGGTTCCTAGCAAGCTCTCCAGAGGAACTGGTGGGCGGGGTCTGTTTCTGTGGCCAGGAGATCACCGATGAGCAAGAATGGGGCAGGATTCACACAGCGGGTGGATGTGGCACAGACACATCACTCTGCTGCAGACTTTGAAGGTCACACTGGTCCTCAAGGTCCTCCAGCGTCAGGTGCTTCTGTTTGCATCCTTGGCATGGCCTCTGTCCACTCGAAACTGATACTTCAAAGACTTCCTCAAGACTGCCAGTCTTAAGCCTAGTTCATATTTTACTTTTCCAAGTGTGCTTTTGGGCTGCAGACGATCATGTGTGGTAGCCTGTGTTCATACTGCATCTGACTGCAGATGCGGATGGTTGTGATCGGTGCATGCATACAGCAGTGATATTCCACCATACCAGGAGAGGCCAGATTTTCTGCAACAAACAGAAATACAAACAGTGTAATGAAATGGGTAGCACCGTAACTACTACAACAACAACAACAGCTCTTCCTCAAGCCTTTGTTGTTGACCGCTGATCTGTGAAAGTTGGCGCTGCCACCTACTGGAAATACCTAATCAATTATCTTGCATGTGCGCAAGATTTCCACTAGATACAAAAAGGCACTGGACAGTCAATTGCTGAGTTTACAAGCCCTGCAAGGGGGAACAAATGGGGAAGGAGTCCACGTGGGAGCAGTGGGTGCATCTTCCTCCAAGGGACTGGGTTAGGACCGAATGAGGAGACAGGGGCTATCAACGAAGACATTGCCCTTCAGGTCTCAAGTGGCGGCGTGTTCAAGATGAATGCTTTTGGCTGTGGCTATGCGAGATGAGTGCAATATCCAGACTGGTGATAGACTCATTTTCTGGTGCCTATCACACCATGCCCAGCCAACTGCCATCTTCATCTTGGTCCACATTCACAGTACTGCCAGCACCGTGTCACTGCCTATTAAAGATCATCCATCCATCCGTCTGTCACCTCTCACCATGTGGGAAGAGGCAGATGTTCCCCACATTCACACCATCTGTGACACTGAGCAAAGGTAAGTTTTGCTATGTGCACATGAAAATGGACAGCAGAACTGAGTGGGAATTCTCCAAATCTGATACTGCCAGAAATGTAAGAGAATAATACCCATAAAACCATAAAATCTACATGTGTTTCTCTACCCTTTCAAAGAAAACGCCATTATTCTGGAAAACAAATATCAAATGAAAAAAACGGCCTGAAAACTGTACAAATGAACTGAAGTTTTCACAAGTGTAGTTGAGTGGAGTATTTTAATGAGCTCTAACATTACTCTGTTACCACTACACTCATCCACAGCTGCGTGTGGTTTCAATCTGCCATTGGACCTTCACATCCAGCAAAACTGCTCTGAACATTTTTCCTGGGAGCTGGCCATGGGAATTTCCAGAACTTTCCAACTGATTCACATGCATATCCAGCGAGAAGCTGGCAAACAGCTGTGTTTTCCTGTGTTCCTCATCCTCACGGACAAAGACGTGCTAGGCCAGATGGAGCTCTGGACAAGGCAAACCCATTTGAGAGCGAACTGCAAGCAGTACATCATTCAAAAGAAAATCACTGTGGTTCTGAGAGATGTGAAATGGGCAACATCAAGCCTACTGATGGTCTAATCTCCAGAGAACATGTGTATCAAACTGCCAGCCAGAAGAAGTGTTAACATCATCGTCTACGCTCACAGTACTGTGTCATGACCCATCAAAGACCAATCCTCAGAGGTCGCAATATTATTTGTAGTAGGGGAAGTTCTTTTCGCATTGACAGGATAAACTGCAATGCAATACAGGACAATCACTAGTGCAATAAAAGACAAGACAAGTGCAATATTGGAGTGAACAATAAACTAAAAAGGTTGCAATGGGGATAAAGACAGCGCCTTCTGGTAGACAAGGCTGTACCTGTAATTGTGATAGCTTGTTTTTTTACTGAAACTATTCATTGGGAAGAATTACTTCTCAACTACTTAATGTCACTTAAAATGTAATTCAGGTCCGTCCAGTTTCCTGAGATTTAATTTAAAACAGTAGCACTCAATTTAATTGCATTCTCCAAACAATTGGTGGACACTTACGACGAAAAAACGTTGTTTGAGAATGTTTATCCATAAGCAACGCTAGGCTTTTCTCCCTGGGGGTGAAACCGTGCAAGATACGAGAGCCTATCCATCCATCCATCCATCCATCCATCCATCCATCCAAATAAATAATTTGTAAAACATAGTTAGTAAATTTTCGAATAAATTATTATTATATACTGATATAACTAACACATGCCACATTGTCAAATATAAATAAATAATTTTATTGAACTAAACACGTCATACCTGTCAAGTTTTGGATTTGAAAATAAGGGAAATTTTCCGGCACCCACCGCGAGCCACCCCACCACCCCAACCAAGCTCCAGTATCCCTTACATTCTAAGACAGGTGTACAAGAAATTTAAAATAACCACTTGTCATTTACATTTTATTTTCATTACACATTTTCTTTTAATTTCTCATGTTCACTCATGTGGCTCTCTGGCATTCACTAATGGCTTATTATACAGATTTGTTGCAGACTTTGTATCCTAGCTTGTTCAAATCGTCACCGAAGGTGAAAGTAACGTTGTTTTTGGCACACAGCATTGCCATTTTAAGCTCCGCATTTATGACCTGGTTAATGTTGTAAATGACCTGCAGACTACTGCAGGTGGCAGTTCTCGCGAGGCTACTGACAGTTCAGTTAGGAGAGGCAGAGGAATTTTTTTAAATAATATTATAATACGGGAGATTTACGGGAAAATACTAATACGGGAGGACGGCGGGAAAGAGGGGTAAAATACGGTAGTTTCCCGGCCAAAACGGGAGACTTGACAGCTATGAAACACGTTGAAACAGCATTTTCATCTGAGTAGTAGGGGGTACGAAAAAACAGAATGGACACGATCACATCAAGTCACCGGCCATTTCAGTTTAAACATATTCAAACTGACGCAATGCCAGGAAAACACCGCAATGACAGAACTTATTTTCCAGTGCCAGCAGTGTGAATTTTGCTCATGCACATAGTATTTCGTATATATTCATAATACAATGTATATTGTTATCCCTGCTATTAACTATCCAACCAATCAAAAGCCAGATTACGATTTGACGTCTTCTTCTGTTGTATTGACTGGGATGTAATCAGGGTGACTGCACGCGCTGGGCGTATCAGTTTCCAGTAATAAAGACAGAGACGCAGTAATTTCACAATGGTTAAAGAGACTGCATTTTATGTCATTCGTGTTTTAAAAGCTATATTTGAGAGATAATATGTCAAGAGAAAAGCAATAAAAATGACCTTGCAGCGAAATTATGTAACATTTTGTAAACCACCATGCGAACAATGTATGCAGTGGGATTGCCAAACTCTTGGAACTCTGTATTACGGAAATAGCATAACATTGCTTAGTTACATTAATTGTAACTCAAAAGAACGTTATCTATAGCTAGCCCTGTTTGTACAAAGAAGACAAATAGTCCATCATCACTTTCTACTGACTTTTTTTAAATTGCACTTTCCTGCACTGGATTTAAAAATAACAGTGGTTGATAACTGGAGCAGAAGTCCCACCAGACTGTGTAGAAATAGGACGCGTATTTCTCATGACAGTTATTTACCTTCATGAATCAGAGTCCTTAATATTTAAATAAATATTAAATAAACTGGCACCCGTTAATTTGTCTTTTTTAATTTTGAAGTCAGATATTTCTGTACACACAAAAAAGCAAGGACTGATGCAGGTTTATAAGACTGAGTGACAAGGTCTGCTTTCATGTGCAAATTCATTCTGCAGTCCTCTGCTTAGGAAGTGTCAGCCCTTGAGATGTGAGAAGTGAGTCTCACTGTGGTATCTAACCATTAAAAATGGACACAGCAGGCAGCAGTGATTTCTGCAGTTCGATTGAGATCAGCAGTAAAACTCCCTGTTCTGCTCAAGCTGCTCTCATCATTGCCCCAGGGAACGCAGAACATCATTTCCCCCCATTTCCTGTTCAAATTAGTTATCATACATCCTAGCAAGATTTCTTACATAACTCATCGCTGTCATGTAGGGGACATTTTTCATTGCTTTCCACACATAACTGCAAATGTGATTCATGTCATCACACATACCTTCATAAACAATTTGTCAGGGCCTCTGTTTATTTTGCACATAGCGACAGATGTTCTGTGAAAAATCTGTTTCTGAACTGAGACATTAACAAAGTGCAAGCATTGATTATGTGCACCAATGGGTTTGTTGTTTCTGGTGGGGGGGGGGGGGGGGAGGAACGAAATAGTCAGTTACCTTTGGTCAGCAAGGACTGACAAAAAAATTCTCTTGCTAGTTGCCTGTTAAGGAGCTATACACAGTAAATCTTTATAATCTTGGGACAACGGAACAGAGATGCATCTCCCAAACAGCGTAATATGAATACCAATATAAAATATTACATAAAATAGGGGAAAAACCATATAACTGTGAATTTATATATTGTATGTATTTTGCACAGCACGTACACAATAGATAATGAGCAACTGAGGTAGGCATTAAAATGATATAATGTACTAGTACAAAGTGTAAGTGTAAAGGTTCATATAGTGTATTATCAGTATTATTATTATGTATCAAGGGAACCAAAAATTGTAAGGGGGGGGGGGTCTCATATGCACCCAGATCCTTGAGAAGTTAATCAGATGAAATGAATGCATGTACAGTATGGGTGTGTGTGTGGGTGTGTGGGTGGGGGGGTGGTATTTTGTTACATGACAGCGTAGGAGAAAAAGTTATCTTCATTTGGGAATCCTACTGTAGAGATTGGACTGCTGGAATACCAGTTAGCAATGAGTTTTGTGATTGTCGAAAGATGGCCAGTTCTTCCAAGTTGTGAAATGACCAAGAAATTTAAAGTTCATATAATTATGTGAGAAAAATGTCTCTGTGGTCTGTGAGCCGGACCTATAAAGGGTTGATAGAGAGAGGATAAGAGCAGGCAGCCACTGTCCACAAGTAGGAGACCATCTTACTGTCAAATCACAGGTGAAAATACATTTCCATCCATCCAGGATTCCTCACAAGCCACGCACACCCTTTTAACTTACAGACAATTTGGCTATTTTAGTACAATTTAGACTCAGACATGTGAGGCAACAGTGCAAACCAATAATCACCATGTCACACATTTTTGGGTTAATTTAAGCTGCAAAATGATGTTACGGACCCTGTGCAAAATTGTTGCGCAATTCCCATTCCCTAATAAATATATAAGTTGTACATAGAGCCTCGCCATTTTTCATGGATATTAAATATCGTTTGCACAGTGCAGCAAAATAATCTTGAGAGTGCGCACGAGTCCCGAGCATTGCAAATGACGTCCTGGGTGGACACAGGTAAACCATAATAAATCCGGGCGTTAATGTAATCAGGGAACCGAGACCGCAAACTAACGAGCGCTGCGGAAAAGCCGCAGCCTCGCCCTTTAACCCTGGATATTCCGTGAAAGTATCCATCACTACGGTAATGAGTTTCTGTAACGAAAAATCTCGAGTTTTGAGCTATAATTTTGGGATTACTTGCTAAACCCGCCTTTCTGGAATATCGCCCTGTAGAGAGGAGGCTTCGAAATATTTCTCTCTGTGATGGCCCGTGCAGCGTCTGCACGATTTAAGTCACATAAACACTCACACAGAAAGAGAACGAGAAATATATTGTAGGAAAACCCAGACAAGTTCAGGAATTCGGTGTTTTTTCAGCTCTTATGGCGGAATTCAGAATTGAAATGGACGACATTTAAGAAAGCTGGCTGCTCTGTATAGCAAGACTGACACCTAGTGGAGAAAAGTGGTACGTGAGGTTTCCCCTGCTTTTCTCTTAAAGCTGCAGGACTGAAAGAAAACAAAGTGCTGCGACTGCCCGCCATCGCCCTCTAAAATGACGTCATTGTGGTATCCCTCTCCATACGACGAAAAAAAAACCTGAAACGTCAAAGTCTTTATCTGTCAAACGCCCAGTATGGTAGAGCCATCCGTACAATGAAATGCTATTTGCACATACAAACACACAAACCAAATACGTGTAACTCGAAAATATAAATTAAGGGAAAGGGGGAGACGGTAAAGAAGTAAAATAAAGTACGATAAATAAAAAGGTGTAGCTCAGAAATAAATAATAATCAAGATAGTGAGAAGGACTAGGTTGCAACATGATTGTTTGGTGGCTCTTAGTGTAATAAAATGATAAGTGTAACAGTCTATGTTTCAGGCACAGTATTTACCCTCTGGGGGTCCGAGGTCTACTGGCTGGTCTGATAGTCCATGACCATGTACTCCCATAACGTTTACCAGATGCTAACCTGGTAAGATGCTTGTATGCTGAATGACCTTCATCCTCTGTTATCCTGAGAGCTTCATTCAGGCATCGTGTACGGAAGATGTTCTGTGTTCTGTAGTGCTGGGGCTTTGTTGCTGAAAGAAGAAAAATATTAATGTTTGCCTTTTCTCTACAATGTGACCCCCTCTGAACATACAGACTCTCTGGATGTATTAGGCAGTTGTTGTTATTGTTAATAACATTAGTCCATGCATCCATCCACTGTCTGCATCCATTTGTCCTATTCATGGTTGCGGAGGTCGGGAGTCTATTCTGAAGGCTACAGGCGCAACACAGGGAACAACCCAGGATGAGGCGCCAACCCATCGCAGGGCACACACACACACACACACACACACACACACACACACCATTTGCACACACATGCCAGTCTACGGGAAATTTGGTAACTCCAATTAACTTCAGCATGTTTTTGGATGGTGTAGGGAAACCCAGAGGAAACCCCATGATGACACGTGCAAACATCAATGGCATTAGCATTAGTAGCAATTTTGTAATACTGTGAATTTGCAAATAGCAAGAATGAGTAAATGTATCAGCAACAGGTGGCTAATGAACTGTACCAGAGGACTGAGAATGTCAGCAGATGGCGCTATTGTATACTGACGAGACCTTATAACAGCTACATGTGATATCCACCAATCAACCATAACATACAAACCACTGACTGGTGAAGTGAATAACATTGATTATCTCATTACAATGGCACCGGTCAGGCAAGTGAACTGTCAGTTCTTGAAGTTGTTGTGTTAGAAGCAGGAAAAATGTGTAAGAGTATGGATCTGAGTGACTTTGATAAGGACCAAATTGTGATGGGTAGAAGACTGAGTCACAGCATCTCCAAAACAGCAGGTCTTGTGGGGCGTTCCTGGTATACAGTGGTCAGTGCCTAGTAAATGGTCTGTGGAAGGCCAACTGGTGAACCGGGGACAGGGTCACGAGTACCCAAGGCTTACTGGTGCGTGTGGAGAGTGAAGGCTTGCCTGTCTGGTCCGATCTCTCAGAAAAACTACTATAGCACAAATTGCTGAGATAAAGGGACACTTCTGCCCGTTTACAGATAATGGGACACTCTCAGCACTCTGCAGATGATGGTGCACACATGGCAAGTGTGAGGGGGCTGCCTGCATCTACACTGCCCCACGCTTGGTCCACACGAAGCCATGCCCCCCCAGCTAATGGTCGCAAGTTCAGGACCAACAAAGGACCACCATGGAGGTCCTGTGAGTGATGCTCCTCCCCTTTTCTCTAAATGCCTTCTGCAAAGACCATAATCAGTCTGTAGCACTGTGTGAACGTGTCACCACATGCCTGCAAGCTACCAGGCTGGTCGGCTGAGCATGAGAGTCTGAGACTCACAAGGTCAATCAAACTCATCTCAACCCCTGGGGTACATAAGACAATAATGACAAAAATGTACATGTTACCGAATCTTTTGCAAAAATGCTTCATGGTATCCTACTGCTTTGGACTGCACAAAAACAAGCACTCTGACTGGACTACAGCTCACAGTTGCCATATAAATAGTCCAGCTCTGGCCAAACACAAGTGCAAAACGAGGTTAGCGGTGGCTTGTGAAAAGAGGCGAGGCGGCGCTGTTATTGCAGACGGAGCAGAAACAAGGGTGTGAAGCGTGGGAGGAGAGAACAAGCCTCGCATGTCCAAGCCGCAGGAATTCCTGACTATTTTTAAGTGTGAGCGAGCCGCACTCACAACACGACGTTTAAATAGCTCAGCTTTTCTTCGAGGCTTCGGTAGCTGGGCGTTGACTCTGTTTACGTCGCAATCTGAGGCAAAGAAAACAACAAACAACAGCTTCCCAAGGTCAGTTTTCTCCGCGGGTCAGTTTGTGCGGGAATTAAAATCAGCACAGCAAACACAAATATACACAAATGTTATCAAAGAGAAGGAAACTACGTGTGGACTGCACTGATTTGTGATCCGAGAGGCGTGTGTTTGTGTCTGTTGCAGAAAGTGTGAGGAAACCAAGGGAGTCAGGGAGCAAGGCTGATAGTCACGTACTCTGTCCTTCATTCCATAACATTGGTTGTCCTGTACCCCCCCCTCCCCCCCCCAAGACCTCCCGGGGCTTCTAACATACATCCTTCCCACCCCCGGCTCCTCCCACCTTGGCTCTTAGAGAGAAGCAAACTCTCGAGTTGCACGTATTCAGCCCCAAACACTTGAGTTTCACCAAATCCACACGTATCGCCCTTCAGCAGATCTCAAGTCCATTGTATGAATATTGTGCTATTCAGTCTTCTGACCTATATCGCTGTAAACAGCTCACCATTACATACCTGGAGCTGTTAGCCTCTGAGAGGTGCTCTTTATACATGCAGCGCTTAAGACTGGAAAACCCTCCCTTACGTCAATATACTCTCAGAAAGTATGCTAAGTTTGCTAAGCTACTGGGTGACCCTTCGTCTGGATGACCTTCTTCTGTGGTGGTAAACAGAACCTAATTAGCTCTGTGTTTACAGTGCGTTTACGCCTTGGCACGCAGTTGCTGTTGCCACAAATTTACAGCTGATTGGGAACCGTGCCCTTCGTCCCAGGCATTTCTTAACTCTCTGCATTTTCCATTTCTCATATTACTTTATCATCTCTGTTTACAAACAACTGATCAAATGTCTTGAAGCATAATTTGTCCTCTCCTGTGTGTCCAGTGCATGCAACTGTATAATAAAGTATACAGTGTAATACTCAAATTCCCCTTCATTTTCGCTGGAAATAAATTACTCTCCTGCTATTATAATTTTTTCCTTCCCTCAAACTACTCTTCTGCAACCATTACTCTTCACTGAGTGAGACACAGTGTCCTGTTGCTGCTTAAAGCAGAGTTCCACTAAACTAGATTTGGCAAATGTCCTCACAGAAATGACCAAATTGCACATGATAGCCTGTTACCATAGGGATGCGTTATTTTATAGATTATGATGCTACTGAGAAGAGAACAACATGTTGGACATACAACAATCGCAGAAAGTCTTGGGATGCTTAATTCAGTAAAAAAAAATGTAAGAATTTACATTTGGTTTTATAACAAAAATCATTACTTTATTGATTTGTTTAACAAAAATATATATATACCACATTTGAAACAACCAGTAATTTTAAGTAAAATGTTCATTCTAAGTACTAATAAATTGAAACCCAAATTATAGTTCTAAAAGAGCTAAAAAGTTCATTGGTAAGCAGTCTGATTGGGTGCTTTTAATTAGTAACTCCTTTGCAATAACATAAAACACCAAACATTTGTGTTTAGTGTGATTTGGAAGCCAGTGACTGCACCTGTAATTAGCAGAAAAATGGCAAGAACAGAATTTTTTTTTTTTTAAATAATAATAATTATGAAAATGTCTGTGTGGAAGATATGTTAAACACTGCTTGTCAATGAACTTTTGCTATGAAACCAATAAATTTGCTACATTTTTACGGAATAAAGCAACCGTCCCAGAGTTTCCCAGATAGCCACTGTCACAAAAGCACATAGGTTAGGGCCAGCTGGGGCAGAACATTGCATTTTTTAAAATTCATTAAGCAGCTGCACTCAGAACAAAGGGTCTGGTAATTGTACCCTTAGCTGTAGGTAATTGTACCTTTTAAGGAAAGAATTTACAACATACAATTACAAGGGTACAGCCCCAGTGCCAAGCAAAGGTATAATTTTTACCCTTTTTCTGAGAGTGTGGCCCATGTGACCTTCCACTGGGTCTCTCATTGGTTCCTTTCTGCTGTACTCAGGACCTAACAGCCAGACCACGATTGCTGATCTGGCATGCATACAAGCCTTCACATAGGTGAAGAGTTGACCCTTCAGTGGTGGCAGACCTCATACCTCAGAAACTACAATGGAAATATTTTCCCTACAAGTATTAGCCTGTCACTGTATTTTGGTTCACTGCTCGCAGTGGCTTCCTGCTTGGGTGTTTCTGTTTGGCCTCGAAGCAGGACACACAGCAGGTCAGGCTCAAGCTCTGCATATAATGTGTGGACACTCACAAAAATAACAAAAGCTAGAAAAGCAATCCACAGTGCCAGAAAAATCCATTTAAGAAGTTCCCACGATCCCATCTAACAGGGCCTCTTAGGCTTTCCGATTTTGGCCATTTAGATTAAAATGTGTATCTGTTAAGCAAAAGAGCAGAAATCCAACCATCTTCAACACATATGAGCATATTATTTATTTAGCAAATATTTATCTATGAAGTACTGACTGAAGCAATATCAGTTAGTACTTTGCTCTGGAAACTTCTTAATTAATGTTCCCCACTGTACCAGGAGAACCATAAGTGGTTTCAAGTGAGTTTACTGGATTTCCATTTCTGAGGGGCCTGCAGAGTAATGTTGACATGTCAAGATATCAGCCTGTCAGTGATGATGGCCAGTGTTTGGTGACTCTCTCCTACTGCAGCCGATCACTGGGCCCAGTGAGAGGAAGAACCTGGGACATCGTGTACAGAACAGAGATCACAGGGGGATCAGACAATAGCGTCTTTTTATTTTTCTTCGGTACATGATGGTGATCCCCCTCCCAAGTCCCCTGTGTTTGATGCCACACCTGTTCAGTGACTGTCATGGTTCTGTTGCCATGGACACAGCAACATCGGACCTGCGGGGACAAAAGTGGATGAAGATCACAATAGGTGTCCTGTGGATGAATGCATTTTAATAGATTAGTGTTCTGCACCAGCTCGGGTCCCTGGGACGATAATGCAGACAGGTCCATTACATGCTACTCATCCACCATGAGCAGTTAGCCTGATGCTAATAGGCATGATCCACCATTGTACGCCTTAGCATTGCACGTGACATCAGGACATAAGAAAATGGAAGAATTAAAACATTTTCATCGTTAAAAGTCACTGGTGATGATCCAGCCCCCCCACCAACCCTGATCAGGATAAGCAGTTAGGAAACAGGTGAATAGAAAGAATTATGCAATTAAAGTCTGTACAAAATCTTATGCTAAGAGTCAGAGATAAACATTGACTTTTTTTGTGGACGTTAATAATGACAAAAACAGGGAAAGTATATGATGTTTTGGGTGCTGGCATTGTGCAGTTGGAGGGTAGAGGGAGACTGGAGTGTGACTTGTGAATCGTGAGCAGGAAGCAGGCTGTCCTCTTTCATAAGGGGGCAGGTTTTGTGTCCCACCTTCAACGTTTATGCTACACGAATCCTCCTAGGCCGTCCATCCCCCCGTTAAGCGCTACATTGTTCTCCAGATTTCCACGTTGGGTATCCGACACACCATCCTCTCTCTGTGCGTGGGACCCGTGACCACAGAGCCACCCCCCCCCCCCACCTCTGGGCCAATTCCCATGACCCCATGCACTTACCCCTTGCCCTCTGCTGGCTGCGGAGGCCACACCCCTCTGCCAGAAGCAGGATGTTATCAAAGGTCTCGTCCCTGTTCCTGAGAAGGATCTAAGTTTGGACAAACAAACAAACGTCACAAATAGGCCAAGGGGCTTTTAAGTTGACCTTTGTTATTTTTAGAGAAGGATTTGACGCAGGGTCATTGTGTTAACTCTTCTCCTCTATGGTACACAGACAAGGAGGACAGGTTCCACAAAAAACCCTTTGGATGCAAATTCATCAGATCACACCAAGTTGAGTGCCTGTGACATCGGTGTCTCCTCCCTGGCTCCTAACGCTACCATGAAGTATGAAAGCTATCGCTCAGATGAAGCCGTCAATCTCGCATCCCCTGGCATCTTGCCATTAATTCACGCCTTTCCCTCTGCAGGGTAGGTTGGCACTGTCAACAAACAAAACAGCTTATAGTATAAAACATCCATTTATTCAAAAGACACATAGCCTTTGTGAGGAGAGGAAATGACTAACCTTTCATTCTGACAAAGAAAATCCCTATAATCAAATTACACTGAGGCCTACTTTTAAACTTCACAAACAGTATGACTGGCCTTACATGTCCGTAACAATAACCTGTTTTTGACGGCTAATACACACAAGTAGATCGCTGATAATGAAGCTAATTGCTGTTGTTTGTAGAGCAGTTTGGATGTGGAAATAGGCCTCACTGCCAGCATTTCACATTCCAGACTGTACGCTGTTTACATTGCTTTCAGCAGTAGTCATGTGACCTGCTTCTACTCCTCCAGAAGGAATATTATGGGCCAAATGTAAAACAAACTAGACCTTAACTTTCTATAAACAGATTTCGCTACCACTGACCCAGGACACGATGGGAGTTTTGGATAGGCATGCCTGCTATGAAAATAAGATATAAATAAAAAATTCAAATTTCAAGGAAGTAGCAAACTAATGTGAGACTCATGCTATTTTGATGAACATGTTAATCTCACTGTTCTATATAAAGTTAGCAGTAAAGCGTAACTCATTAATTTTACAAGTGCTGCAGAGAGTAACCTGAGACCCTTTGGGTTCCATTTCTTTGTAAAGGTTCAAGAACACTGGGCTTGATGGAAAGTTTTCTCAAGTTCTGGACCGGTTTGCCGGGGTTCTGAGGTTTGAACATGGTTCTATAGACATAAGCTCCTGCCTGATCTGCTTTCTCAGTCTCACAGACAAACCCAGCAGAAAGTGGAGCTTGCTGAGTTTTCGAGAGACACCCCTACAGCTTTGTGGAATTTGGAAGGATGTGGGTATTTTGAGGGAGGGGGCAAGATCAGCTGACAAGCCTGAGTAATCAACAGTATGAGGTAAATTTATTCTGTAAGTTGTAGTGACTGGGAGCAATGGGCCATCTGAAGCTGATTTTGGCCATTGAGACAGAGAGACATAGAGCAAAATGTGTGTTTGTAGTTGAATCATTTTGCATATCCGTTTGTACCATTTAATAAACACTGTTGCTTGGATGTTCACAATGCTGTTGAAAATCACGTAGAGTGATGAACTAAATTTGGGATCCCCCCCCCCCCACTTGGTTCTAGGTCCAAACAGTTAGAAAAAGGACCCTTGTAACTTTGAGACATACTTCATACCTAAGCATTGTTGCAGGCCAAGTACAGCCCTTCATGGTAACAGTGTTCCCCAATGGCAGTGGCCTCTTTCAGCAGGATAATGTGCCCTGACACACTGGAAAAATTGTGCAGGAATGGTTTGAGGAACATGAAAAAGAGGTCAAGGTGTCGACCTGGCTTCCAAATTCCCCAGATCTCAATCCAATCGAGCATCTGTGGGATGTGCTGGATAAACGTGTGCGATCCATGGAGGCCTCATCTTGCAACTTACAGAGGATCTGCTGCTAACGTCTGAGGGCCAGAACCCATAGGACACCTTCAGAGGTCTCGTGGAGTCCAGGCCTCGACGGGTCAGAGCTGTTTTGGTGGCACAAGTGGGGCCTACACAATATTAGACTGATTAGTGCAGATTCCTTCTGCGTGCCTCGCTCTTGGAGAACACTGCCTTCTTTTCTTAGTGGTGCTTATTATTGATTCTAAATAGATTAACAAATAAATATCAAATAATAATAATAGACACATGGGTTGAAGCTTTGCACTTGACACCCCTAGCATGCTTGTTTAAGTTCAAGAAAGGCCCCTGCAATTGTAAGCTTAACCAAAATTTAACCAAAATGTATCATTTACCTTGAATTTGTAAAGGCATACCAAGGCATAAGGCAACACAACAATGACATATATTTATAACAATAATAACCCTTATTATTTGTATTGTCATACACACATGCTCCTAGGGTTTGTATCAAAAAGCAGGATTTCTTGTGTTCCTGGATAACTTGTTGGATTGAAGGTAATCTGGTCTAAATGTAAGTGAACAAAGATATGGTCCATTTAAGCTGGGGTGCCTTAAATCGGACAATCGACACTCCTAAGCAAGAAATCCTGCTTTGTGATACAGGCCCCTGGGATTTCCCTTTTTGACTGGGAGTGTCGGTGCTGTGCCGCAGAGGTGATGACATCCTGGGGCCCCGTGCCCTGGAAACGCATAACAACATGCTATGTAAACAACACCAGCTGCTGGTATTAACTGGGCAATGCAAGCAGAATCCCTATGAATTCACTCCTTAAAGAACTACATCACTGCAGATGCTCAGTGAATTAGTTTGCTGAATGATTCAGTGTCTTGGCATGTGTTAATACAAGAGGATTCTTCCATTAAACCCTGGCAGGCTTCGGAGACTAACTTAAGAAGATGCTTTTACTGACGCCTGACGTGCTGGAGAAACCGCTGGTGACATAACTGTCCTGAGCTGCCCCGGTGAGGCCTGGCAGATGGAAATCCACTTGGGGGGGTGGAGTTCACTCATCAGGCACAGGGTCGATGTGTATCAACGCTGCCCACGAGGATGGTGGCTGTACTAAGGAGGAGATTTGCGTGGGACCCACACACAGACACATAGACACACACACACACACACACGGTTTGCATTCATATCTTTGTGGGGACCATGCATTTGTTTCTATGGGCATAATCCTAATCCCAACAAGAACAACCTTAATCCCTACCCAGCCCTATGATTGTCATAAAACTAAGCTTCCAAATGTCCCCACAATGTGATGAAAACCTGTTAATTTTACATTGTAGGATCCATTTTTTGGTCCCCACAATGTAATATATGAATATAACCCCCCCCCCCCACACACACACACACACACACACTACATAAAATAAAAAGGCTGATTGTTGTTGCATCAATGGTCAATGGAATAGAACAAGTAGCATAAAAGACAACTAAAGGACAAAAGGGATTGTTTATCTTAAGCTCGGAGCCTCGGACACAACAGCACCAGCCGTTTCCTGCCATGTGACTACGAGTAACTGGACAAAGAGCCTATCATCCCCCAGTGGATTAACATAAACAGTGGTGGGAGTTATCCTGTAATTTTAGATTTTCATGTAATTTAGCACAGCATGTTTAAGCTTTATCAAATGCTTAGGCCCCGAGGATGTTGGCTTCCCCAGACATTCACTGGGAAGCCATTATTATCAGCCTCCACCTCTGTTTACATTCATTCACCTCCATTGAATCAATCCAAATGCTGGGAGCGTAATCAGTCGCCACAAGTGAAATGAGCTTTTGTACTCCTAAATCAGTCCAAACACGCAATGCAAGGTTCAGTGTGAACTTTCAGTGAGTGTTTGCTTTTGTGCACACGAGCTTCAGTGTCACTCTGCTGCAGAAACTGCATTCTTATCAAGATAAATTCATCCTCAGGCTGTTTCTTGTAATTACCTCAGAGCGTAAATATACATTTCCCGGACGTGAAAGTGAGCCAGAAAGGAAGCGATACAATAGACCCCTTAATTAGATCAAGGAGACTATCCAGAGAATGATATGTGATGGGCAAGACTCTGACAAGCTAGTGCAAATTCCTACACTTGGACAGTCAAAACAGGAATGTTTCGTGGAAAATATACTTTTAGCAGATCTGGGTGTGAATTATCCTGGAGATCTGGCAGCCGAGCTGGGAATCTCACCTAAATTAACCTCGGACCCTTTAGGAAACTGAGGAGAGCTGAAAGCAAAATAACTGATGTTAAACTTGATGTTGAACCATAGTGAACCAAAAGAATGGGTCAAAAGATGTCAAAAGGTCAAATGTTTAGGGGCTATTCCACCCCAAAACAGCAAAATCACAAAATGATGTCCTGCATATACCAAGATAACTGGCTTACACAGACCATGAATGAAGAACAAGAAGTTGTGACCTGGAGTCACTCCTGTCATGTGCTGATTTATACCAGAATTGTACTGAGTAAAATGTACATGCTGCACAAATCTCAGGGTTAATTCCTGCTGAACATAAACCTGAATCAGCATGGAGCTGGTGGGGGGGGGGGGTGGTGACTGTCCGGGGGGTGTCCTTTCAATACCACCAATCACCACGACACTTGCACTGTTAGCAAAGAGCCTCTGATTGCCCACCACTCCTGGAGGAGGTCCCCTGACCCCCAGCTCTCAGTCTTTTGTGTTGCATCTAGCACTGTTTAATATTTCATGCTGCAGGATGGATCATGTCTCTGGATGGGTTCTTGGTGTCCCCTTACTAACAGAACTGGGCCAGAAAATAACATGACCCACTCTCCCCCAGGGAAGTACTGCAGAAGCTGATCCCGGTGTCTCACAGCTCGGCACATTTGAACCCAACTCATGACTACAGGTCTGCTCTTGTGCATGAAAATTTCCAACAGAGGTGCCAGATTTGGTAATACATGATGGGCAGAGATTCCGATTTAATCATTTTGTGCTGTATTCTAGACCTCACAAAATGACCAGCACACCTAAAAGTCTAAGCTTAAGACCCCACCTGCCTTTGGATTCATCAGGTGTTTATAATCAGGATCTGAGAAGTACAAGCGGAAGTTTACTGTCGTTCTCTGCTTTGTGTGCAATTCATGACTCTGAACTATAATTATTTAGTGCAACCAAAATAATGAAAATACTGTATCCCAATGACATTTAATTGGATAAATCTTGCGTTTGAAAAATAATCCTACAGCAATAAAAAGTTATTTAATCAGTTTTAAGTGCTGATCAAAGGAACTGAACAAGAAATAATTACGGGGTATACGTGACACCAAGACACCATGACGGTATTTTCCATAAGCACGGATTATACATAATCGGTAAGGGGGTACAGAGAAGGGAAAAACTTAGCAGACAGGTTAGATTTGAAATTTGAAATTATTCATGCAACCTTTATAAGAACTATGTCTTATAACTCAACCACACACCTTCTTCTTTGGTTGGGGGGGGGGGCATTCTGCGCCGCGTTTCCTGGTTGTTATTACCCATAATGCCACCGGGCGCTGTATTTAAATGAGCGTCCCCGGGGCGCTCGGCGACACAAGGCGCTGTTTATGTCGCAACCCGGCGCACATATCCAGCCGCCCGTAGCTTCTCCCCAGACCTGCACGTCTAACGGATGCTTAACTTTTCCGTGGAGCTCTTATTAAACAGTTATTCCTTCGGCTCCCAAAAAGGATACATACTTGTCAGCTCCCCGAGGTGATCATGTTTGACACCGAAGAAAGGTAGGCATTATTATAATAATTGTTATTATTGTGAATATTATTTTTATTAGTAGTAGTAGTAGTAGTTGTAGCAGTGGTAGCAGTTATAGTTGTTGTTGAATTATTATTATTATTTGCAGATCTTAGCTACTGTACCGCTGCGAGCTTATCGCTGCAGGGCGACGCTCGGATAAACAGGCGTGTGTTTTGGAAGTTGTCGCCGCCGTGTTGCAGTTCCTCTCCGGCACCTTGCATGTGACGGACGGCTGGCATTCCGAATAGCAGACGTTTCCAGAATGATCTGGGGGACGCGCCTAAGTTGGAAACATCACCCCGTCCAAACGGGACATGGTTCTGCAGCGATCTCGGTGATGATGATGGTGGTGGTGGGGAGGGGTGGGGGATGGGGGCGCTTTAAGTCCGGATGGGCTCAGAATTATCTAGAATTCCCGGCTCCGGCGACGATGTAATCGGCCTGCGGGATTTGTTCTGAAAAACACATCGTTCTGCTGTCTAGCTGTATAGTGATTACTGATCAAACCAATCACCTATATTTTGCATGTGTGTACAATCTGTATCCGGGAAACAGTGCTGCTGCAATAGTATAAATGCCACAATGAAGGACCTGGAGTGATATTTGACTGTATTCACTTAGTATTGCACGCTCTTAACTGGCGGTGTGTTATTAAATTGCTTATTTTGCAGTATATTAGGTTGTCATATAAAACGCTTGGTCTACGACAAAGGGCCAATGCATGAAATGCCAAAGGTATACAGTGCTTAGTCCATGACAAACCCACTGGGGCATCTTCCCCCCCACCAACGGTGAACGCCGCTGCCCCTCAGCCAGATCCCTGGAGCCACGCCGAAATAGCCACTCAAAAGATCACTCACGGTGCCGTGGCCGATGTTAACCTTGTTCCGTACGGGGACAGCGCTGCGGATTTGTTTCGCATTTAATCGGCTTTGCAGCAGAACGCTTCCCGGATGGTGACCTGCTCTCCCCTGGCAGCTTCTGCCTGAGGGGCGATCGGGGGGCGGGAGGGGTTGCTGCAGTCCTCAGTCTGCCTGTGCCGGCAGCGGCGAGGTGCTTTTCATATTCCAGCAAAATGCAAATACGCATTGCCACTGTAGTATTGTTAATGCGCAGAATGTGTCTTTTAGATATATATCAAAGGGAAATTAGTTTTTAGGTTAGTAATAAGTAAATAAATAATAAACAGAAGCTCAGTTGTCCCAGACTAGACGGTCATGATATACGGCTGTCATGAATCATGGCGGCACCAAAAGCATGTTACACACCAGTTTTTTAGGGTCTGGTTTGACGGCATTATTTTCATTGTCAGCTGGGGTGCTTACAATAGCATAGTTTTTTTTCTGTACATGAAGTGCTTTTAGTTAGTAAATGTGCCCTGTCGCAAAATAACGATAATAGGGTGCTCTGTTAATGTTTGTCTGGACAAAAAAAAATCACCCTACTTTGAGCAGCAGTCTGCCACAGTAGAATAGATCAGAGCTCACATAGAGCAAATAGGTTGTGCTGATACTGAAAATGTTGCTAAGCACATTGGATGGTGCAGGTTGTAGATGAAAACAAAATCACCACACTAGTTGCGTGAATGAGTCAGGTTGTGCAATAACATCTTGGAGCCACTGAGCCAGCGGAAGATGTGGTACCTGCCGTGGTGAGACAGGGGTCCCGGCAGGTCCTGGGCCTCCTCGGGGTCCCTCACTGCCTGGTCCCGGCGGTGAAATTGGCCGATCGAAGACTGGGGGCCTGACACTCTTTAGTGGCTACTCCTGTTAAGTTTCAGATGTGAAAAGGTATCTGGGGGCATGAACCCAACCAGGTTTTTATCCTGAATTAAATCATTAAAATGTCCAGCTTTATAGCGGGGTGTAAGATGGACATATGCTGTGCTTATTGTGCTTTGTGTTCGTGATGCTGGTTTCAGGATACTTATTATCAAATGTACACTGTATGATGAAATACCTACTTACATACTTTGTGCCAGTCATGCCAGATTCATGAGACAGATAATAAAGGGCAATAAGTACAGTTGCCTGTGGATAAATAGCAGAAAATAAAACCACCAGACAGACAAACCAAGGCAACAACCTGATGGGGTCATAACTCCCCCGACCATTAATGGTGAAAGTGTCCTGCTGAATGTTTAATTCTGGAAACAAACGGTAAGACCTATCAGATGCGACTAGGTGATCAGCTTTGCTTTCAGGTTAATCTTGTTCCATTGTTCTGCCTCCTCCCTTTGACTAATAACTAGTTAATCCAGTAAATTGCATGCTGCAATTCTGCAGGTTCCAACATGCATTGCGACTTGGCCTGGCTTTGATCACCTTGCCAAAATCCGCTGGCTCTGCTCTCACCCCAGGGCTCTTGGGCTGAGATGGTGTGACGTACTTAAAACACGTCCGGTGTCTTGTTTTGGAAGCTGGACACCGGCCACGCTTGCTTTCTCCCTGACCTAAACAAGGACTCATAGCCAAGAAATCCATTACGTTAAAGACAATTAAGCCAACCTGCTTTGGCGAATGCTTTATGGTCTAAACTGGGAGCCAAAATCAACTGTAGGGCTATTAGAATGGATGGAGTGGTGAGATTTTCCATGTGTTGTCTGTGAGCTCATGGTAAGACACACACAGAGCAGAGTGCCTGACTTTCCCTCCAAAGCAAGTCTCTCTGGCAACAGTGGTATGTGCTTTTGAAAGGCATCTTAATGATGGGTCGAAGAGCGCAAGAGATTACTGTGTTGTCCTGGACCATGTGTGTGCAGTTGAGGGCATTCAGAATTTGTGAGGGGGGTGGAAACATGGGGGGATCGGACGCTCGAGGCCGATCGGGTTCAGGTTCAAGGCAAGCTGACATTTCCTTTATCCCCAGTGACACCCCTCCCCTTGTCAGGCAGGCATTCGGGAAAGATGGCAAATGCAATGCAAGGTCTTTTCGAATTTGAGAAGGACGAAACCCTGCAGAAAACGAGACAGAATGAAGGAGGAACCTTGCGTGGGGATATGCGGCTGATGGTAGTGCTAAAATAGTTTAGTGGTAGTGATGTGGTTGAATAGTGCTGTCGCTTTAAGCCCACTGCACCTGCTTGGGTTTCTGCATGCAAACAGGAAGCAGTGCTTCGCTCTAATCATCCACAAATACGGTGGACAGCGGCAGCAATGAATGCAGATTATGGTGTTTGTCTCTGATCTGTACGGAAAAAAGAAACGGGATTTGCTTACGCAATATTCGCTGATATGGCTCTGCTAGCTAAAGACGTACTGGTAGCCATGGTAACAGCCCATTAACCCCGCCCAGAGATTTGTGTATGGATTTTAATTTCTCTCTACTGAATGGCATTGATTAGGCTTCTGTGGTAGGGCAGATACTGTATAAGCTAGACGAAACTGTACACTGCGTAAGTTCTGCCACGTTCTATTGATGGACAGATGTTTTTGTGATAGTAAAAGACATATAAACAATTTACAATAGGGGTGGGGTTATTTTATTTACAGAGTGCACAAGACAGCTACTGGCTTATTGCATAAATCATGCATAACCAGTTTGAGCCACGCCGTGGGAGAATTGGGAATGGATAAACTATCAGGAAAACCGAAAGCAAGCCTTCGGGCGAGGGGGTGGGGAGGGGGGAGCTGATCACGACGGACACGTAAAGGTCAGCCTGCCAGGTGCCGAAACCTGAGATGCAGACTCGTGTCTTCCTGTCCCTGAGTGCCAGGCTCTATTTGGGGACTGGTGTGCAGGTCATGTGCTTGTTTGTGTTTGTGCTTCACGTTCCCGGGCTCCAGCTAAATGACCTTTTAGGCCAAGCCGGTTGCCCATTTCTGTACCCAGGCCCTGATCTAAGCTGACCTTTCTCTCTGGGCGTGGGTCCTGTTTAAAAACAGCACACCGGTTAATTGGCTCCTTTGCACTCTGTCTGCCGATTCCTGTTGCAGCGGGGGGGGCGGCCGTGTGGCTAGTTGGACTTTGTTTTCCAAGTCTGACAATGGATGGAAGGGTTAACACTTTCCATCTGCTGGCGTGACTGTGACCCGGACCGTGAGCTTTAGCCGTGAACACGGCGTGAGTGGGTGACATTTCCCTTATGCCGCTTGAGTGGCCATGACTACCACCATGCTCATCTCATGTGCAACGCCACCGCCTTTGACATCAGATTTACAATGTCTGTACGCAATCCGGCATGGAATCGTTGAGGTAGGATGAGGGCAAAGACTGCTGCCGATAGCTGGAGTTACAACTGCAGATCGTCCTCCAAAGAGCAACCTCAATTGCCAGCTATGAAATGTGGCTTTGTCTCATAGTCCCTATATGCTGGGGGACCTTGAGCAGTGGATGTAGCCTTAAAATAGGTTCAACCACCCAGAACTAGCTCTGCTGCTCTGCTTCGATTTCATGATAAGATATTAGCACAATAAGTTGAGGAGGTGAGCCTCACCCATCCTTTGTCTACTCCTCTTTTCCACTCTACAGCTCCTCGTTGCCTGGTTCCCGGTCCCCTTGCTCCATGAACCAGGCCCCAGGGCCTCTGTGGTGCTCCTGATGTCCCTCACCCACTATCGAAGATCCCGGGTGGGCGAGGGACAGGCAGGGATCATCCTCCCAGTGTTCTTTTGCACAAGGTGAGAAGCCCCGCCTCCATGTGTGTGTCCCACCCTCCTTACCTGTCAATCACATACAGCCCCGCCTCTCCACCCCACTTGTGCTGTCCGGCCCTGCAATTCCTGCTGGAATACCATGCTCCGGATCAGGGTGGATGTATGAAGCTGGTTTCCGTGATGTCTATTGATGTTGTCGGCAGAAAAATAAACCCACCCCTGCTTGCTGAAAATGCTGGGCGGAACTTTTGTGTAAGCACATTTGTGTAATGGAGAACTGCTGAATGCAAGCTGTGGAATTTTCCAGGAATTATAGAATTTAGACCAGGGAAGTAGTAAGGAATTCTAGGCCCCTGGACAAAGTGTCACCTTCAATCCCCTGGGTGTAGTTTGCTCCATTTGGAATATCCCCCCCAGTCCAGGACCTGGGTAACTATACTCCCACCCCCATAGCGACAGCATGATTTAGGCTCTACTGGGATATTTTACAAACTCTGGTCTATAGACAGACTTCAGCTCTGTCAGGCTGGATCACCTATGCCAGCTGACCCGCAGGTCTGGCACTCAGGACTGATTTAAGGACAGATAGGGGAACATCCTACAGATGGTGCAATCTGACACCTACAGCTGGATAAGGTCCCACTGTTCAGTAATGGAATGTTTGCCAGCCAGGACGGGACAGCCTCTTACGTCATGTAGACCCACGGGTCTTCTCATTGACATACCCAAGCTGAGCGATCGCTAACCAGGGCAGGCTGTTTTATTCATGAATGTTCTGAGGCATTGATTCTGTGTGGCTCAGATGTCCGTGCAGACGTTAGGAGCGTTAGGATCAGCCGGGCTGCTGATGCCACTGAAGTGAATGTCGGAACATTACACACAAGCCCTGTGATCACCAATAAACCATAGGCTGATGGATGTGGCGCGTCTGTACAGTCAGGCTGACGGTTAAGGCACCTTAAGGTGCTGCTCTGCTAGATTAGCTTCTGAGCGACACACCATTGGATATATTTTGCTTTCCAAGGACATCGTGAGCCATCACGTAATTTGCTCGTTGTGACGGGTGGAACTTAAGGTGATTGAATTACTATTGGTTCGTTCCAGCTGCCCCTCATTCTCAGGACTCTGTTTAGCTTGTCCACTAGTAACCCAGCTCCAAAAGGTCTGCGAGAACCAGCTGGGCAACTTGCGCATGGTGTTCTGCAAGAATTTTATTTTTGTTTTCCCAGAAATCTCCCCCAGGCCTGTTCCCCACTGGTAAATCCCCGTTTCAAGTGGCTGTTCGCCAGACCCCCCAGGCTTATTCTTAGATGCTCACCAAACTGGCAGACATCCCCCCGAGTATAAAATGACTGATCCAGATGGATAATTACAGTTAGTCTGGATTTAGGTACCTGGGCGTACTTCCGACTCGCTGAGTAATGCTTGGACTTCCCAGGTGCCTGCGGTCTGAACCAACCAACCCCTAACCCCACCCTCCCTCTGGGTTGCAGGACAACAGGTTGACAGTGACGCAGACCCTCAGCACCAACGGGGCGACTCCCTTGCTGCACTTTCAGTACCAGCTGAGTGAACGCCGGCAGTCCTGCTGGGAGACGTCACTCTCTCCGGACGGCCTCTTCCTGGAGATCCCTGGGGGGCCACTTCCCGAGGGCAGCAAGGAGGGGTATGCATGCCTGGGGGTGGGAGCTTATGTAGCCCTGGTGGACCTGTCTGTGTGCCCAGCTTTACGATTGGCCCTGGCTCTTGATGTGCTCTTTGCATAGCCTCTGTGTGGCGCTGTGTGGTCTTAGCACAGTGTCGTGTAAATCCAAACCCCTCTTCCTCTGCCCCCTCCAGGCTCACCAGTCTGCTGGAGTTTGCTGAGGAGAAGCTGAAAGTCCACTGCGTGTTCCTGTGCTTCAATAGGAACAGGGAGGATCGATGTAAGCGGGGCGGGGGTCTGTGAGCATGAGCTGCTACCATTTTACACTTTGGGGAAGTAAAAAATTAAACACTGTTTCTGTGTTGGTGGGAGGGGACACTTGGGCAAGAAGGAGCATGAAGCGGACATTGCTCCGATGGCGGATGTTCTGCAGAGGAGACAGACGTCCGTTTCATGCTCATTTTTATTCGACACCGAATGACCTCTATGCTATTCCTAGAGGTCACGTAGCAGTGTCGTGTAGCGGATGGAATTACTTTTGAGGATAGAAAAAAGGGCCGTACCCTGACACACCCGTGTCCGCTCCCTGCAGTGTTAATCACCAGAACCTTCCACTACATGGGCTTTGAGATGGTGAAGCCGGGTCATCCCCTGGTGGTCCACCGGCCGGACCTCCTCTTCATGGTTTACGCCATGGACCGTGGCGGAAGCAGCTCAGAAGAAGACTAGCCCTCCCCCCTGCTGGTGGCCCACAGCTACCCCACCCATACCCCAACCCTACTCCCCTGTCCCTTCCCTTCCCCCAACCCAGCAATATGTGTACTGGGGTGGCCCACAGTCAGCCGTATATATAAACTCTCCTGGAAGAGGGGGGGCATGGGCGGAGTCTAACATGAGTGGGCATGGACTTGATAGAGCTGTGGTCACCTGACTCTCAGGTCAATCTCAATCCCTGACTATGGGTCACTTGGTGCTATGACATTCTCCACCAAGCTGCACCAAATAATGTAAAGCTCTGATACCCTTCTTTTTGTATGTGACTATTACATTGGGTGCAATGACCCAGTCTTAAGCAAATCGCAGCATGTATAATGTAAAGTGAGGATATAAGGGAATTTTCACCTGATAGGTGAACATGGACTGTGTTTGTCATCGGTCCCCCAGATGTGTTCAGTAGTAGAGCACCAAGCTATATTACAACTTCATAACTCAATGTACTGATAAGCCCGGCTGTGTAATTTGGGGGAAATCCTTTGGGATCTGGCTGGCCTCTGTCACCCCAGCGGGTCCCATTAAAGGGTCACATTGGAGATGCGTAGGAACACAGGGGAGTGATCATCTCAGCCAGTCAGGTTCTCTTCACTTGATCATACTCCACCACCAAAGCCCTCCAATAAGCTTCATTATGACATCAGTGTTGAGCATTTCAGGTCCAGAAGCTACAAATCCAGATCAAGATTTTGTTTCTACCAACCAGTTGAGTCAAGTCACAGAATTGAGTTACTGTGACGTGACTCAACTGGTTGGTAGAAACAAAATCTTGGCCTGGATTTGTAGCTTCTGGACCTGAAATGCCCAACACTGGGCTTAAGTTTACTGAGGCTTGATTTAGTCAATGAACGGCGAGATGGTCCAAGGTGGGATAACACTGACGCCATGGAAGCAGCTGCATGCAAAGCAGGCAGCAGGTGAGATAGACTCACCTGTCTGGGTTGGAGCCCTCTCAACAGTACAAGCAGGGAATCCGGACATGAGCTACACGTGACCTGACCAATCACACGGTTCTTTGCATCTTGGTTCTCAACAGGCCAGACCTACCAAAGGGGGGGTCATATCCCCAGTGTTCCAAAGCTGGTTTATCCCTCTAGCCCACGTAAATGCACGCATGTACCCCTCCAGCTCTCGGTCACCCCCACCCACATATGGCACAAGCACTTTGGGTGAAAACAAGCAAGATAAAGGGCGAGATCTACCATTTGGCTTACTTGCTTAAACCCACCAGACAGAATTGCCAAAGAACCTGCACCGCCCCCCCACCATAACACCAGCACCTCAGACTGTGGATCCCGGCAATAACGGTCGGCCGAGCGAGGCCCCTGTCCTTAGTGCTGCCGCAGGGAGCTGAAGCTCTCACACATTCCTCACGACGTCCTGAGGCTCTGCTCTGCTGGTCTAGGGGGCTCCCTACACTCCGAATCACCACCATAAGCTCTCAGCATCACAGCTCCAATGACTGCAGACTCTGTTGTTTTGTTTCCCCCCCACAATCTCCTGTCATTTACAGTCGCTTGTTTTCTTAAGTTTCGGTAAAGTGGGAAATGCAGATTTGAATGTATATTAGCATAGAATCATATAATTTTGGATCTTCTGTATGTTACTTAAACCAAATAAATATGTTACTTGTTTCATGCTGTCACAGTCCGTAGGTACGTTTCTAAATTAGTTCTATAGCATGATCATTTCTACATGAGTCATTCAATAGTTATTCAACTTTTAACGACTACAACACAAGCACTTTTAGAAAGTCATATATGCACACATATATGAACACTTCTACACATAAAAAACATAAAAACGCTAAGTTATTGGTTAACGTTACGTGGACAGCTATTGCATTATGCTATTAAGGAGTCAAGAGCAGATTTTCAACATTTTCTGACCAGGTATCGCAAATGAAAGAGACCAGATTTTTGGGACTCTACTGCTAAAGCATGATCACCTAAGTGCCCTTGACTATTTTTCACATTACATGTACACAGTACATGTAAATTGTATTTACAATTTCATAAATTTATGATACGTTTCTGTTGATCTCTTGTAACTGCTCCACAGACCACTAGGCGGTGACAGATCCCAGGTTGAGTGTGAAACCAGCTGCTGAACCTGGCCTTGCCCTTCCTGCCCTTGCAGCAGTTTGCTCTGTTCTGTTTCCAATGTGTTCGATAGTCAGCTGACTACTAAGCTCCCAGTTTAATGAAAGCAAGTGTGCTGGTGAAGAAATAGAATCAGAATCTAGGCCTCCTGTAAACAGATTCCCCGTCATCCCTGACCACAGGCTCACAGTAACAGGAAACCCGTCTGCTGACCAACCGTCTGTGAGGAATTTCCTATGTCAGCAGCGAGTGGAGGTCCAGTGTGGTAGAAACCCCCTGCTGTGACAGTTGACCCCTCCTGGGGCAGAACACTGGGTGTTGAATACCTTAGCTCTCAGGGATTGAAAACAGCTAAGAAAAACCCCTGTAAATCGAACCAGCAGGTGTAATGATGACACTAATGAAACTACAGCAGTTCTTTCAGTAGTGCCGTCTCCTAATCCTTCAATGGACATGGATACCACAAGATTTACAGGTAGCTCTCTGACCCAAATCACTGGCACACTTACCTCTGGGTAATAAACAGGCAAATTTGCACGGAGATGCATGAATCTACCTTAATGCTAATAAGAAAGAAGTACAGAGGAGGCCCTCGTGGCCCTAAATGTTCCTTATGTCTTACAACTTAAAGCAGCAACTTTCCTGGGGGTTTCATCCATAAGCACAAGCACTACGTGTGTGAAATTGTTGATTTGGGTCAAGACTGAGCACCTCCATTTCCTTAAAGGAGACGGCTGAAATAAAATCTTGGTCTGGATTTTTAATTTCTGGACTAGAAATGTCAACCTCTGCCCAGGAAGCACAAGGCACCTGGGCAACTGGAAGGTACCTAGATGGGATGCCTGTACATTGCATGTTTGGTAAAGCAGAATGACATGTAGCTCAGAGTGCTCTCTGTTATTATCATCATCATCATCATCATCATCAATGCTACACTGAGTGGATTGGTCAGCTGTACAAGTGGGGATATGACAGCAGCCAATCACACGAGCTCTGCAAAGACTGGTGACCAATGCAAAGCTTCTGCTCACAATTGATCAGTCGAAAACAGGTAGGTGCCAAGAGCTGTCCAGGGTGAGGATGGCTGTCATGTGGGTGACAAAAAAAGGGGTTCAGGTACCCAGACCGGTCACAGACGGCCACCAGATGTGTGGCAAGGAATTAATGAACCGCCAATGTAGGTGGCACAATCACTATACTGTTGAGTCAACCAGAGGTGCAAGCACCTTCCTCCAGGGGGCGCTGAGGTAGCATATTTCTCGATGACTCAGTAAGGATTACATCTCTGTGTTCTCACCGATACTTCGGTTATTTTCATCACGTGTTAAACTGCCAACCAGTGGTACCTTCGTAAGCGGTTTACACACACACCTTCTTGGCATCAGTTTCTCTCACATATCCACTCAAACAGAGACGATATCAACTCAAAGAAATGCAGACAGATGGCCTGGCTGGGAATTCACCGTCAGGATGTTTGATTTATATTTAGCACACAGCGAGGCAAAACAGCCGGCCCTAGACATCACCAAAATCTAAGCAGCTGAGTTTTTGTTGACTACTTACCAACTTCATTTGTGCCACAATACCAACCTCTAGTGGCAAAAATATAGCACTTTTTTCTACTTTACAAATTCCGTTATAATGACGCAAGAAAATATATGCTAACCACTCATTTTCGTGCATGTTACAATCTCAGAAATGCTGGAAGTCTTTGCCCGAAGATGACACAGTAGTTAATGTATAAGTAATGCATAGCGATCTGAGCCGATTTTCCACTATGAGAAAGTGCAAAAGCAGAGAACAAAGATATACAACAAATTTTTGATCAAATCCACCTTTTCTAAATGAGTTCTGAACGACTACCATGCGTTATAGTTAACACAGAACCAACGCATATATCAAAGTAGAAATTTGGTCTAGGCAAACCCCAGTTTAGGTGGACCTAAATCCAAATATTGATAAATATCAATATCAATCATATTTTAAAATAGTCTGTTTAATCTCCTTTACACATGACCACTTTGATTGCGTAAAAATGGCTTTCCAATAATGAAAGCAGGACATTTACTGTAGCCAGCAGAAGGACTTGCTGAAAGTATAGACATAGTAGGACATCAATATGTCAGAGAGGTGGAAAATAAAGACTTCCACAGTCTTGTAGGGTTTTTTCTGAATCGCCGCATGCGTCACTTTGCTGTACGATTTAAATATTAACTGTGTCTGCAGCACAAGTGCAGATGTCCAAGATTTAAATGCAAACGACAGCATCTGCTTCAGATGCAAATTGTAACAGGTAAAATTTAAATAATGCATCTTATAATGCATGAACAGCTGACCAACTGGTATCATATGGGATACATTACGTAATGAAATATATGCATGTAAAATGCCTTATCACTAAAACTGCTGCTGGTAAAAAAAAATTAATAAAATCACATCACTGCAGTTATGCTAATGTGGGTCAGCATCTTCCCAATGCAGATATTCTTCTCTAAATTTTTTGTTTATTTTAAACACCACAAACTCAACTTGTTTAATTCTTTACTAAAAATTATGTACAATATCAGCAATAATTCCATTGCTACAGGGTTTGATACATTTTTTACAACGCAATTCTGCTTCAGGTCGGCTTGCCGTGATACGCCTTTGTTGCATAATGTCAAAGATTTTTTCAAAAATGCAAATTGGTGAGGACTTGCCCCAAAAGCCATGGAGGCAAAGTCCAGAACGAAGAACCACATCACACATGCACACCTTAGCCTTGAAGTCCTCTAGTGAGCTTCGACTGCAGATCCAGGCTTCACGCAGACCGTGTCACAGGCCAGGCGGTGCCAGGGGGGGACGCTAAAGTGATTAGGTAAAAATCTGCTGGTGGAGGATGGGATTACATGGAAACATCTCTGTGATCTTTTGATGTCCACAAAGAGTCAACACTGGTTTGTGGGTTGTGCTCAGAAACACTAAACCTGTTAAAATGGCCCGTTGATCGTTGAAAAAAATGAGAAGCTCAGGAGGGAGGGAAAAAAAAAAAAATGTAATGACAAAACCTTCATGCAGTGATTTGACTTGACAGTTCAACAGTGTGGGGGGGTGAGTGTAAAAGTGAAATTAAAAAGGGAGGAGGGCTGCCCCCAAACTCTGAGGTAACGGCTTAGCAGTCACAGAAGATTAAGCAAACCAACCATACTTCCAAAGAGCATACTCCAGGACTCACAGAGACTGTTCACTACAGACCACTAACAAGAGCATCCGCAAATAAACTGATTAACACAAGTATCACCCATATACAGCTTTAGTCCTCCTGCAGAATCACAATTATGAATAATTGTATAGCTCCTTAAACCTTCAAAGTGACATTTGCATGGACTGTGACACACAGCAGGGAATATAAACCGCAATTCTGAGCAAACGAACATTAGCAGTCGGCAGCTATAGTCATGTGATCTGGAATTGCGGAAAACATTAGCCTCTGGTCTGAAGGTTAATAGCGTAATTAATGAGCGCTGGACTGCTGCAGGCTGGACCTTGGAAAAACCACATAAGTGCAGGCAGCTGTACCGATGCGGCCTGACAGATTGAGGAGAACCGCATGGTGATGGAGCAGCATGACCAGCAGAGGGCAGCAAATCTCACATGCAACGTTAATCAACAATTAAGAGGTACAATACAGGGACAGGGCGGAAAGGAGAAGGCGGGGGGTGGATTAACTAATTTCAGGCTTCTCACGGCCCTATAAAACCTTACTGGATGTTTTCAAGTGCAAGAAATGAGTTTATGCTGTGCTCGCAAAGCCGGCCTTAGCCAGCCACTCCAGGAAGGCATCGGTACTGCAGCCGGGTATCGAGGCGTCCCCCGGTCTTCATCACCAAGGGAGGTGAGGGATGGGACAGGGTGTTCATCGCAAAGGGTTTGCTGGTTGGTGTAGTGGGCTCAGGTGAGCCCAGGGAGCAAGAGGAGTTGGGGGGTGGGGCGACAAGACGTGCTGCATCATGGTTGGGAAGGAATCATACTCCGGGACACAAGCTTGAGGATCCCGCCGTGCTGGTAGAAGATCACATCCACCTTGCTCTCTAACAGCGTCATCACTTGGAAGCTCTTTCCAGTGCTGGTCTGAAATAAACAAGCAAAACAAGAAGGTCAGCCATCGTCCTGAACTACTTTGAGGGGTATTTCCCGGAGATGCTTAATGGGGGCCAACTTAACGGGCACGTACGTGGACGGTGAGCTCCTGACCAGGAGATGGGTCTGCCGGAATGGAAAAGGAGAACGTTTCTTTGCCGTTGAGTCCCAGGGAGTCTGCGCTCTGGCCCGGAAGGAACTGCAGAGGGGCAATCCCCATGGCAACCAGATGGTTCTTGTGCAGCTTTTCGAAGCTCTCTGCAATTACAGCCCTCACACCCTGTAGACACAGGTTAGACCCCTTAGGGTGTGATGCTCAAAGCCCACTGAGACACTTGAGCAATATATGGCGTATATGGGGTGGAAGCTCTGGAGGAGAGTCCGATTTATCACATTTAATAAGCCACATTGGGACCTGCTTATACTCTGTGTGCCTGAAAGCATTTACCCGAACAATAAGTTAGTAAGTCTATGAGCCTCAACGGCCAGGGCAGGTCCGCGACTCGTGCTCAAGCTTACGAGTAAGTAGGGTCCCTTGGCAGCCCAGTCACGCGAGTTCCCAGAGCCATACTTCTTCCCAGCCAGGATTATGAGGGGAATGCTATCCCTCTGGTACCTCTCAGCCGCCTCGAAAACATCCATCTGGAACACAGACACCCCGACAGTCAGGGTCCAATGATAGCACATGAACCAGCACTGCTGGGGTTGATGCAGCCTGATTCACAGAACCACAATAAAATTTTGCCAGCCCACACACCCATTGGCCCACTGGTGCCACTGCTGACAATGAAGTGATGGACACTCACCATCTGTCCAGAAGGGATGTGCAGGGTTTTGGGGGCTGCTTTGCCGATGAACCTATTTTGTAGCTTGATGCTGGCGAATGTACCCCTGGTCATCACTGCATCATTGCCCCGTCGGGCTCCATATGAGTTAAACTCACGGGGGGTAAGGCTACACAGATGGGGAGTGAAAGGATGACGAAGACCACATAACACATGCGGTCATACACCATGCCGTCAGCACAAGGAGACCCTACCAGGTGCTAACCCCTCTCATACCCCTGGCCTGCATGCCAGTGAAGCCCCACCCCTACCAAGAAACTGGTGAGATGGGTGACACTTACCGCTTACTCGTAAGGTACTTGGCTGCGGCACTGGTGCGGGAAATACTACCAGCTGGCGAAATGTGATCGGTTGTCACCATGTCTCCAAGAAAAAGCAAGGCGTGGGCACTTTCTATGGGCTGTGGGGGGCACGGCTTGTTCGTCTGTCAGGAGAAAGACGTGGGCTAGTACTCAGGACAAAAGCGTCACCATGCACTAGTGAAGCTTCATGAACCATTTGCTGTATTTTCTGACCCCACTAGATGGTGCGCTCTGTTCATAAAAGGGCTCAAAGCATGCTCCAAAGTAATCCAACAGCACCATCTACTGGGGTCAAAAAATACAGCAAATGGTTCATGAGACTTCATTTGGCCATCACCTATCAGATGGCCTAAAGCACAAGAAACCCTAACTCACAAGTTTGTGGAAGAAGGGTGGACATCTGATGTACGTGGACTTGACATCCCAGGGGAAGAGTGTGGATTCGGGAGCATCCAGGTTCTTCCACATCTTATTTTCCTTCTGCAAAAGGCATTAGAGAGACCGTCAGAGTGACACACACCTCTCCCAAACACACAAATTGCCCAAAGGGAGAACATAAATGGAGAATCACCTCCATTTTTTCCCCGAGGTCTCGGAACATGGAAGAGATGACCATGTTCTCCTCTGTGTGCTGGACCTCCTCCCTGCTGGGCCACACATCCCGAAGAAACACCTCTTTGCCCTCCACAGTTACACCTGGGGGCAAGAATGGGATTAGGGAGGGTTGGCAATGTAGGACCACAGCCCTTAAGATGATCGATGGTAAGCATTTTAAGTGCTCAGGTCATCAAGCCAACACAAGAACGACTTCCCAACTTCTGTGGAATGTCCAATATCAAAAACTCAGGGTAACATTATCTGGAATAAAGATATCAGAGGTGTAGTCAGTCTCATTTCACTGTCCTCACCCAGGGGTTCAGTCTCAAAGTCGATGCTAACTGTGCCAGCGATGGCGTAGGCTACCACCAAGGGTGGAGAGGCCAGGTAGTTGGCACGTACGCAGTCACATAGGCGTCCTTCAAAGTGCCTGTTTCCAGACAGCACTCCGCAGGCTATCAGGTCACCCTGCAGAGACAAGACCCACTCAGATTAGCAGATTGGTATCAATGGGGTGAACAGCTGATGGGGGTTGGGGGGGGGAAGTGAACAAGAGAACAGAGTGAAATGGGGAACCTTTCTAATGGCATCGACTACAGCTGACGGAAGGGGTGCAGTGTTTCCCAGGCACGTGGCACATCCATAACCGACCACCTCAAACCTGCGACACATGGAGCAGATATCAGTGTTACAGTGAGAGAACTCCAGCTAGGCACCATGAAGACATCCGATGTGTAAGTGTGTGTGGGGTGCATATGGAGGGGTCCACACACCCAAGCTGGCTGAGGTAAGGCAGCACCCCGCTCGTGTTGAGGTAGTGGGTGACCATGCCGCTCCCGGGAGCCAGGCTGGTCTGGATGTAGGGCCGGACCCTAAGCCCGGCTGCCACAGCCTTCTTGGCCAGTAAGCCTGCAAAGCACAGCAGAAAACCCGTATAGTTCATACAACCTCACATTTCCTTTTACACACATACACACTTACAGCTTAAATACTTTTCCCCCTCAGGCACTGGCTGGTTATTTGACCTTATTCCTGCTGAATACAAGTACCTTTACTACTTAGCCATCTCCTGCCCTACAAGTGTCTCCACCCTCCTGACAAAGCCCACACTCTGCTGCTACCGGCTTTGGGTTCGAGCCCCACACCTACCTGCGGTGAGCATGACGGACGGGTTGCAGTTGTTGGTGCAGCTGATGATGGCAGCGATGACGACCGAGCCATGAGCTAGGCTGAACTCCTGGCCCTCGTGCAGGAGGGGAACTAGGGCCGACTGCTTCTCCACTGGAATGTGGAAGCCCTTAAAGCCAACCTGCAACACAGAAGCGGAGGGAATTTCAGCCCCAGCGAAAGGCCACACCCCCTGGTGGTAGGGCCCAATACAATGCTCACTGGTTATGCAAAAACCTCATCTTGCACCCTTGAATGTGAACAGCTGTGGGGTCAAGTGACATCTGCAAGCTAAATGTCCTGGGTCAACTCTTGGATGGGAGAAAAACACATTGGTGCTGTAGTGGTGCACTCCAGCCACTAGGGGGCATCCTTACCAGTTTGCTTAAAGTGCTTCAGTGTGGCACATCGAAACTCCCCCCCCCATCTCCAGCTTGGCAAATGTTAGTCAGCAATTTGTTCTGCAAATCTTTTATCATTGGGGACCCCAGTCCAAAATATTGTCAGAGACCCTGGACCTTGGCTCTATGTCACTGATAGAATTTGGACCGTGGAGAAGAAGAATCAGAGTACCCCAGATATAGCAGAAGGGTTGCAGAGGAGAAAAACTGTGGAGGATGCTGTTTTTTCAAATGACACTAAGCCACGCATACCATGATCATTAAAGACCCCACGTAGTAAACTGGAGGCTATGGAAAACTCCCACAAAAAAAAAAAAAAAAAAAAATCATAATTCAGTCTAAAGACAAATATCTGCTTGCCTCATTACTCAAAGCGCTGATTTGGTAATAGAAAGTAACCAACTGAAAAGAATGATTCAAATGTCACATTTTCCCAAATGTCAGCCTCACTGGGTACAAGCTAAATAAATAAAACCAGCATACTGTACACTTCATAAAAGAGTGATAAGACCGAACCAGGTAAACTGGCGAAAACGAAGCATACCTTCTCGTTTAGACAGCTGGCAAAGTCCTTCTTCATGGTGCTCACCTCCACCCGGTCCTGCGGCCTCTTGGGCCCACTAACGTGGGGCACGATGGTGCTGAGGTTAACCTCTATAACCTGGAGATCGAAGTAGAACGACAATGCAGGAGAAATAAGGTATAGTGCTAAAACCCGCCTGTTAGCTGAGGAAACATTCAGGACTCTGGCTCTGGCTGAGCCTGCAAACAGGGATCCTCACCTCTGAATAGACGGGGTCTTCAGATGGGTCCTGGTAGTTTCTGAAGAGTTTCACAGCCTTCAGGTAAGCTTCCACCAGTTCAAGTTTCTCCTCACTGAAGTCTGGTGGTGGAAAAACAAAGACCTTTGCTCTGGCATGTGACCACAGAGGTCATCAGACCACAGCATACTGATGATCCTCTAACTGCATGTAGTCTCGATCAGCCCTTACTGCAGTTAACAGTATTAGGATAGATGCACAGTATCTTTATAGTCAACCGTAAACATTTAGACTTTTTCAAGGTCTATTGCTAACCAAGTTACGGAAATCTTGCACTACATTTATCTGAGCTAAAGGCCTTTTCCTGTAAGCAGACAGAAAGCGAATCCATTTGCGACTCAAGGCTGTCCTGAAAATGCCACAGAAAATCACCGACGCCAACATAGATGTCCCCTTACTGGTTTGCCTAAAGTGCTTCAGTGTGACGTCGTCGATGGGGAAGAAGCTGACTGTCGCGTTGTACTCTGGACACATGTTGGCGATGGTGGTCCTGTCCGGAACAGAGAGTTGGGACACGCCGGGCCCAAAGAACTCCACAAACTTACCGCCGATCCCAGCCTGACGGAGGTGCTGAAGGAGGGAAGCGACAATTTAACCAGCTTTACCCCATTCACTGAACACGAACAACAAGGAGCCCATTTTTTTCTGTCCATCTAAATTATTTGGAAATTTCCTAAGTTCTCGATTTTCATAAATACTATATAAGACAATTATTTCAAAGTCCACAATTGTTTAGGCAGATGTTCTAGTAGGGTAGGCAATCTTATCCGGAAAGGGTCATTATGTATGCAGATTTTCCTCCCTAATTAGAGGACTGACTGGCTGAAAGTTCCCACACCTTGGTTTGAACAGCTGAACTAAAGATTATCCCAAAAACCTGCATACACACTGGCCCTTTGCGGTTAAGATTAGCTACCCCTGTTCAAGTCTAATATGTTAATCTTTGGATGTGTGTCGTGCAAGGTTAACATTAACTTTATCTTCTTGGCTGGCCTTATCTGCATCCCTCAGGATCACTTTCACCCCATAGCCTTTGCACTGCTTAGCCCTCCTAACCTGTCCTTGTATGACTTCACTTCAAAGCTGGGGCTCACGAACCTTAGTGATCCCGAGGACGACGTCTATGGACGTGGCTAGGTTGTTGATGGAGCCGACCAGCTTGCAGCCCACCACCTTAGGCAACGTGAGGGTGATGGGCTGGCCCAGCATGACGGCCTCCGACTCAATACCCCCGACGCCTGAAACCAAGTGAGAATGGAAGCACATCAGCGCCGACCACTGGCGAGACACCATCACTACACCGAAACTATGCACAACTTATTCACTTAAAAAGCAACATTATTCAGAAACTGATCTTCTGGTCTAAGCAGACACTGAGGTCTTCATGACGTCTTCTAAAACATACAGCAGGAATAACAGATCATACCAATGCCAGCAAAGAACCAGACTGTCATTCACCAGCAGTTCTGGGAAGGCGTGTAGGAAGTGTGGGAAGACAGGGAAGGCGGAGTCACTGGTCCTCACCCCAGCCCAGAACACCCAGGCCGTTGACCATGGTGGTGTGGGAGTCCGTGCCCACCACGCTGTCTGGGTAGACATACTCCTCCTGGGCCTGTACCGCCTGGCACAGGTACTCCACGTTCACCTGGTGTATGGCGCCGATGTCGGGAGGGACCACCTTCACATTCTTGAAAGCTTTGGAACACCACTAGAAGAGCATACCACCATTTACCAGTCACGTTACACACACTCCTGGCCTAGATTCCTGATAGATGTTGGTCAACATGATGATAAATTCTGGATGTGTGACTACTTTAAGTACCACTAATTTTATCACAGGAGTGCAAGAGGGCAGTAGCACTCTAAGAGGCAGCATTGGGCAGCACCACACAGTTGCCATCCTACCTTGAAGAACTGGAACCTCTCTTTGTTTCTGCTCAGTTCCTTCTCCTGGTTCCTGAGAGCAGTCTCGGGCCTAGCAAAGGTAGAATCAGAGAGGAGTCGTTAAGGTGCTGCTGTGAGGACAGGTGACCAGAAGTGGGGTATTCAGGGGGTTGGCCGGCACCTACTCAGATACAGGCTGGAGGTGAAAAGGGCACAAGAGGGGGGTGTTCTCTATCTGGACAGAGGGGACCCTCCCTGAGGTAGTGGGAGCGTCGCTGCAGGACCCTTTGCTGCAGGTTCTTTGGTCCCTGCACCCAGACCCCCCATGAGGTTGAGCTTTGGCAGGAGAGGATTTGATGGGGGCAGCTTGACCTTCCCCCCCACCCGGATTCGGGGCATTCTGAATGGCACTGAAATGAAAAACGTATATTGATAAACTCTTAAGCGGGTCGTTAGTTGACTGGCTAAATGAATACCAGAAGGGTGAGCTACCATTTGCTGAAATCAATCTGTAATGCCTGATCCACAATGAGGTCGGTGGGACAGGCGGGGTTCACCAGACTGGGGTCGCCCTTCAGGCTGGCCACAGCATCCCTCATGGCAGCCAGGTCCACCATGGCGGGAATTCCCCTGTAGGAGAACACCGCCCAGGGTTCAATTTACACAGCTAAAGCAACACCATGTGCTCCAACCTTCAGCATGTCCAGTCCACAGTCCCACCCATCACAAACGGCACCAGAAGGGCTAGTGGACAGGTCACAAAAATCACCGACTCTCAAGGAAACACTCACGTGAAATCCTGAAGCAGAACCCGGGCCGGTATGAACGGCACCTCAGCCGAGCCCTGCTGCTGACGCCAATCCAAGATGGCCTCCACGTCCTCCCTCTGCACGTAGAAGCCATCGCACCTCCGGATAGACGCCTCGAGCAGGATGCGGATAGACAGGGGCAGCTCATCTGTACATGAGGGAAACGTCTGACGTCAGTGAGTCAAGCTACTGTGAGAAATCCAAGCAATTACCGGCTTGTGGGATCGCGCTTGTTCTTTAATGTGTCTACCAACCAAGAAGAAGACATTAGGAAAAAGGTTGTCCTAAAAAGGTTCTTCTGGTGTATTCTTGAGCAGGGCAGGGCCCGATTGACCAAGGTGCACAGCTCAGAAGAATAAGTGTGTGCAAAGTACAAACCAAATCAGGTTGACTCACTGTATCTTGGATCCTCAAGTTTCTGTAGACTGAAGTATTTGCGCCCTGGATGTTTCTCAGTCTTCAGCGTCTCAATGAGGTGGCTGAAGGGGTGGTCTGTGGAGAGACAATGGAGGCTTCAGGTGATGGGGACAACAGACGCGGCAAGTCTGGGAAAGCTACGGACAGATGAACTCGATGCAGCAGGAAACCAACCAGGATTCTTTTTTTTTTTTTTTACACTTATGCCAACTCAGTCAACACAAAAGTCTGTGAATTCACAATAAAAATTGTGCAAAATACATTTCTGTTTTTGTCTCAAATAAAACCAGTACACTTGTTTAGTACCTATCTAAGCCTAAAGGGAAAAGATCTAAAATTGTCAACAAGTAATTGTTTCATAAAATAACGCATTTGTACATAACAGGCACATTAAAAGAAATCAAAAGTTAGCCAAAAATAATAGTTCAAGCTGCAGCAGTGGCCATAGACGGCTCTCGACTCTCCTTCTGCTCAAAACCAGACATATTTTGGATACCAGACTAGACATTCCCAATGCTTTGTTCACCGGGTTCCAAAGCAGAGGGTTTTAACAGTGCTTGAGTGCTATACTCTCAGGTCTGAAGGGATCCGGTGGGACTGGGGGTGGGGTGGGGGCACACACCCAACGAGGCCATTCTCTATCAGCACAGGGGGGCAGCTTTGAAGGCCCAGCCACGGCACAGCGTGAACCGGGAATGTCGTCTCACTCTCCGCGTTCAAAAGGGGGGGGGGGCACGTTCTCGCTGCTTATTATTGAGCCATTTGTCGAGCAGCCCCTCCTTGCGTCTACCCACCCTGCAGCCCTGATCTCCACCATCACGAAATCAAACTAAACAGGAGATTTCTGCATACAGACAAAGGGAAGTGACGAACAGGGATGCCAGCAAGATTAAACACATAATGAGTCTTTGAATGAGTTTGTCACGACTATGTCACACTTCTAAGAGTTTATACACTATAATTTCTCCTGAATCTAAATGTTTTCCATAGAAACATGCTTATGACAATAAGCTCATTTCATAACTAAACTGCTGCATCCCAGTAATTTGAAATGTATTCAAATCATGTTCAGCACTTTCAAGAATTATTTTCAGACCACCGTTACACTTCTCTAGCTGATATAAGTAAAGAACACTCAGTTGCTCAGTTCTGACCTTGGGCTGCAACCCCTTCCATAGATCTGCAACAAGTCGCAAAGAAATGTAGTGTCTTGGACTGTTAATGGTTGTCTTGCATATACAGGACTTATTAACTAATATATGATAAATATGTGAAGGAAGCAGTCAAAGTTCACTCGGCAACAGGTGTTAACGTTGAGTGTCGTGTTTAATCTGGGGGACGCACAAGTATCAAAGGCATGTCTTGTCACCAAGAAACTGGCTTAATTTACCAACGTGATAGGTGCAGTAGACCTGGTACTCCCAATTCATGTGGAAGAGGGGAAATCTGTACAAATACAGGAACTGATATAGGCCGTGAGACTACTGTGTTTAAAAACATGACCTTAGTATGACTGAATTTGTGAAGTGTGGGTTTTCCAAACTCACAGCCTGACAATACATTCATGAAAATTATGGGACTTCACTAAAGTTATTCCTTCTTGTTTTATAACAGCATAAGATTCATCACTCTTTGCAGCTTAATACAAAAAGGGGCACGAACCGCAACCTGTTGAGGATGAGTTTGAGAAGTGGCCAATTTTAGGTCTGGACACCTTGTACCATGGAAAGTTCTGGCACCATGGATAGACCTCGTAATGATGAGTATAAATCAGCGAGTCAGGCAGCAGGTCTGAATCTCTCCCCCATAATGAGAAGGAGAGAGCCAAAAGGGCCATTCTGGTCTCAGGCTCGGTTTGTACCGGTGTCTCCCCCACCGGCCCAAACCCAATTTATCTCCACTACAAGGACAGTTACAGGTCAAGCAAAGAAAGCAGCCTTATTACTGAATCTAACCTCCAAATACAAAAACACACAGGGTAAGATTAATGTTGGCAAAATAGCAATCCAATCTGTCATTCGTTTGCTAAAGTTCAGCTCTGTTATGTCTTCTTGTCAAATAATGCAAAAAACATGTACTTTGTAACCTGCACACATAACCCCTCTTCAATAATGTTTCATGCAAAAACCTGAAATCGAATACAGGGGGACAGAAGCTAGATAGAGCAACGACTACTGGCACTCGTTTTTTTTACAGTCAAGATTTATTGTCAATCTTAGAGACAAGTCGGACAAACTACAAACATTTAAATAAACTGCCTGCATATCTAGTCAAATGAAATCAAAATTTTAAACGGTCAAAAGACTCCCATCGGTAGAAAAAAAAAACAAGACAGCTAAGTTTTGTAAAAAGTTTTGTAAATGTTAAAAATAAAAACTGTAAACAGCCGTGGCATTGTCATTGTGATAATATGCCAGATATAACTAGCAATTTAAGAAACCTTATCTAGATCATTCAATGCATGATTAATTGCAGTGTTTTATTTATTTGGCACTATGACGTGTAAGAATTTCATCGTACTACTTTCGGAAGACATTAAAATTTGATTATAGGACAAAACATCTGTTAGAAACCAGAGAGCAGGCCGATTACAGGAATACTGTCATTTTGCCTGGAGATTCCACACCTGGGTAAAGCGAGTCTGTCAGGTTTATTTGCCGCAGATGGGTTTATTACACGATTTAGTTATTAAATCACACTGAAGCGCCTCGCCATTCAGCCATCGGTGTGACACTGCAGGTTGGGGGACTCCGTGCTTATCGCCGAAAACAGCCCACCTAAGCGCAGCTGCGTGGCCCGATAGCGGGGCGCCAGAGGCTCGCCAGCCGGCCTCGGTCACCGAGCCCGTCCGGTGGCGCAAAGATCCGCGCTGGAAATTTCACTAGCATTCACAACATGCGTTTGTAAAAAAATAATTACTGCCATTACATAAAAGTAATAAAGCAGAGTACGCGACAAAATTCCGCTCCGCTGTTTTCGGTGACAAGACCGAGGTTCCGAAAGCCCAAGTCCCCCGAACCAGACCCCCGGATACGCCGTCCTCCGCCGGGCCGACTCAGCTCCGGAAGGCAGCGACCAAGTCCGCCAGCGACACAGGAGGACGCGAGGCCGGCGGGCGCCAGCATACGGGCTTCGCTAGCCGAACATGCTAACGCTAACGACGAGCTAAGCGGCCAGTGCAGCTATAACCCTCCGAACTGGCTGCGTCGCCGCGGAAAAAAGCCGGAACTGCCGTGGCTCCGCACAGGCAAACCGGAGGCTGCTCTTCGCAGGACTGTCAGCCGGGCGGGACCGACACAGTCCGACGAGAACAGCACTGCACTCCCGGCGCGGCCGGCCTTACCTCGGGATACAACCGTGAGCGCCATGACGGCTCCTGAAATTGACACGATCTCCGCTAGCGGGCCGGGGAAACACCTCCCCGATCCGGGCCCAATGCGGTTCTGACGGCCGCCCCCGCCCTCCGGCACAAATTAACTCTCCTACAGCCGGAGTCCCACTTCCTCCCCTTTCAGACTGCGGATTTAGAAAATAAAGTTAAAGTGGCTTGCTGATTTGTATTTATAAACTCCGTTATCCATAGTGACGATGTCATGGTCTTGGTTTATCGAGCTGAGGTGAACCTTGTTTAATGCGAACCCACATCCCAGTGGCAGTCAGCCGTCCTTTTATTATCTCCCCGGAGAAGCGGGGGCCCTGGGGACGTCGCTCCAGCACACGCCCTTGCGAAGAAGACTTTAAAGTTCCAGATAAAGAAAGTCAAGTTCCAACAGGATTTGGTTGCTTTTACTTGCTTGTAGTCCCGTCAAACAAGCTTTTCTCAAGAAAAATGATGTGAGCCGTACTGACTAGGCAAAAGTACATACTTTTCAACGTTTATGGAATGTAACAATATTGACTAAAATAATAAAATGAATAATGATAAAATGACTAACGCATATGTTAGTTTTACAATTAATATTTATACATAGGTTACCAAACTAAAGCTTTACACTTACGATAACTGGACTCCAGTTGAGGGTATCTGATCGGACCAGAAACAACCTGTGGAAATAATAAATTGACATTGTACAAATATCCACAGTAGCTAATAAAAAATAAAAATGTTCTGTTTTATAATAATGCAATTAGTACCATGTATTTACATTGTTGGTTCATCTTATAATTTGAGAGAAAACCTCGCACGCAGGACGATGCTGCATGCACGTGGTGTCAAACACGACCACCGGGCAGCATATAGCGTCACGGTGCTGTAGCTCAAAAAACTCTTAGACATTTTAATTTTATTTTTTTAGAACACGTTACGTAATTATAAAAATGGAACACGTAGTATACATATTACATGGTGAAATTTAAAAACTATATTAATTTGTAACTGGTTGACCTTTCAACCCTTGGCGTGTCAGAATCAATGGCGTCGTGATCCGTGTGGGAACCGAGCGTGTCGCTGCCTGACATCGGGTTGGGTTGCACCAGATATCGTCGCTTAGACCCTTCGCCGATCTTTATCTTTGCCATGTGAAGCCCGATGTGTTTTTAAAGGTGGTCGGCTAGCCGTCTAGCTGGCTCGGTGGCCGCAGCTAACGCGGTAGGTGTGTGGAAGGACAGGCAGCATGTCCGCCTTGTTAACTTACTGGGTTAATATGTCTGCGTCCTGTGTTTGACCCGATAGCAGGTTAGAGAAACGCCGATTTGATTCTCCTGCAGCTTCCTGCCAATGCCCCTACTTTTATTGGCCGTGGTGGTGTTATTCGTTAGTGTCAAAGTTTACAAGGGCATAGAATCATCGGACGCCACTGGGCACCGTGCTCCATGCCTAGGGTGGTAATCAGGACCTGGAGGACTTTCATCCGCGATGGCAAACACCTTTCTGTTAGGCTGCCGTATATAGCTGCTTTTTCAATGGCAGCAGCTTTGGCAGTGTTACCGACTTTGGCTGGCGTGAGGTTTTCAATTCCAAACAAGTCTGCACACGCATTTACATGTATGTAACAGTTTAATTACCTTGTAAATAGTCTGTAGGGTTTGCAAACTACCTCACTCTTTTGATGTAGCTAATTTTAGGTTTATAATGGAATAATATATGAACTCGCCGCTCATAACTGTAGGCAGACTGCGTTAATTGCTTCACTTCCTGATTCAGCAGCCCGGAGGAGTGAATTGCTGTTCCCTCGATCACTGTACATTTATCGGTTGTAACATTGGGGTAAATTTGCCTCTTAAGATGTGTTGGTGACCTTTGGCCATGTGACGCAACACTATGCCAAAGTTCAGTTAGACTTTTCAAGGTTCTCAGGAACACTTCCGGGTCTAACGATTATGAGGAAAGTTCTTGTGTGTCTTGAATAAGATAAATGTTTCACAATTTGTTTTACTTCCTTGCCTTGACATGCTGTTCTGCTATTTGTCCTCTAGACACCATAAATGTCAGTCTGATGCCCGATACCTCAGGGAGTAAGGATGCAGCAGAAACGCAACATCCAGATCATCGAGTGGGAGGACTTGGACAAGAAGAAGTTCTACTCCTTCGGTGTGTTTATGACCATGACCATCCGGGCCACCGTGTACCCGGCCACACTCATCCGCACGCGGCTTCAGGTGCAGAAGGGGAAGTCCCTCTACAATGGCACGTTTGATGCCTTTTTTAAGATTCTACGCGCAGAGGGCGTGCGCGGACTCTACCGTGGCTTCATGGTCAACACCTTCACGCTGATCTCAGGCCAGGCTTACATCACCACCTACGAACTGGTTCGGAAGTACGTATCCAGCTACTCCACCAACAACACCCTCAAGTCGTTGGTGGCAGGTGGATCTGCTTCCCTGGTGGCTCAGAGCATCACAGTCCCCATCGACGTGGTCTCCCAGCAGCTCATGATGCAAGGCCAAGGCGCCCACCTCACTCGCTTCAGGGTCAAGCCCAAGATGGCCGTGGCGGCCAGGAAGCACCGTGTTACCTTTGGGCAGACTAGGGACATCATTGTTCAGATCTTCGCTGCCGACGGCTTCCGGGGGTTTTACCGAGGCTATGTCGCATCTCTCCTTACATACATCCCCAACAGTGCTGTCTGGTGGCCGTTCTACCACTTCTACGCAGGTAACAGGACATAAAATTCAGGGTTGGGGCCATTCCGGAATGCATGCATCAATTCCCATCCAAATTAGCTAATGGAACTGGAGTTGGAATTTAAATCTATCTGAAATTCAGATTCAATTTCAGTTCTGTTCCCCATAGTTTTTTCCTAATCCCATGTCCAGTTCCATTTCCTAATTTGGATTGGATTTGATGAATGCATTTACGGAATGGCCCCAACCATGGTAAAAATCCACTCTAATTGGACAGTCGGATGATCAGCTTGTAATGTAAGCTGATATCTTACTGCGCATAATATTGTAAAGCACCATTTTAAATCGCAGCCTCTCATTTTAAATAATATTCATATATTTTTCAACAGAATTGCTCAGGAAAAACATATGTGGAAGTAATAGGAAGTTGTGGTGTGTGGTGAATGTTATTGCTGTTGAAACAGTTTGACTTATCTAGTTCACATGTAATCTCTATGAATTGCATAGAGCTGTATTACGAAACTAGAGGAGGACATCTTGCGTTACTGCTTGCTAAAGGGACTGTATGGGGTTTATGTAGCTCCTCTCACTTTAAGAGGCCTGCATTATCTTAGCAGCCAGCATTATGAGGCACCTTTGGAATTCATAGCTACGTGACTGACTGAGCGATCCGTCTGTTCCACTGTCACAGAACAGCTCTCCAAACTGGCACCCAGCGAATGCCCCCACCTGGTGCTACAGGCCATGGCTGGGCCTCTGGCGGCTGCTACTGCCTCTACGGTTACCAACCCTATGGACGTGGTCAGGGCCAGAGTGCAGGTATGTGCGCCCTCTGCTGGTTCATTCAAGGTAGCTGGCTGCAGGCTCCCTTTTCGGTTTGGGATTAAAGAGCATATCCTGCAAAATATCTACTGGTTTCTGCTCCACACATCTGTAAATGCAACACAGGACATATCAAAAATAGGATCTTAAGGTTGATGTGTTTAGGTGGGCCAAGCAGCCTGTAGTAAAATAGTTTTTGTTGTTATCTAAAGAGCCAGTGAGTTTTCAGTTCTGCGACCCCAATTTGACAGGTGGAGGGTCGCACCTCAGTCATCGAGACCTTCAAGCAGCTACTGGCTGAAGAGGGTCTCCTGGGAATGACCAAAGGCCTGTCAGCCCGAATAATTTCTTCGACGCCCACGGCCATCGTCATGGTGGTGGGTTACGAGACCTTGAAGAAATTGAGTCTTCGGCCAGAACTGGTGGACTCAAGGCACTGGTAGAGAGAACTGTGACCCAATGCTACGTCCTTGGCTCTACTCAGCCTGTTGTCCTTTTAAAACTCTGTTGCCTTGTGACATTTTAACGTGACACTGAGGTGGAGGGGGTGTGTTTTATCCTTGTTTGGTGGGGAATTTCTTCACAATCATTTTCTGAATTGTTTTAGCAAGATTTCCTCTGAGGATTTTTTTTTATGCATCAGTAAAATAATTTGATGTCAATTTCAGTCACTAATAGAAATTCTTCAGCAGGTGTATATATTAATTAGTGGAATTTAGATCTAAAAATATGCACAGTAATTGATTAGTAGATGCTCTGGTGAGGTGGCATCCTTTCATATGGAAAGGAGATCTTGGACGGTTGAGATTGTAGGTGGCTTGAGGTTCTAAGGGAAGTTAGTGACTGAGATACAGGACTTCTCGTCTGTCATGGTTCCCAAATCTGCTCTGCTAAATGAAATCTGATTTGTATCAAATTGTTAGGAATTTTGTTTTGATGAAATCTTGCCCTGTCGACAAGCCTTCACCATTGTGACACAAAGCAGCAGCTTGGGAGATGGGACAGGGGACACTGTTGCCAAAAGGTTGGCATTCCTGGGGCTGGTGTGGATCCAGCCTCTTGCTTTTTGCACAAGCAGTATTTCATTGGGCTGTCTTCTGTGTTAGGAGTGAGGAAAGGTGACACCCTCTAGTGGAGGTTGAGGGTGTGGCATTTCTGAGCTATTACTCAGTCTGCTAAGCATTGCAATGGAGAAAATGTTTTTTGGCCAAAGGGAAATTATGCTCTCCTGGAAAGACTGCAAATAAATACATGTGCGATGAAATGGATACATATAGCAGTGTTGGGTATGTACTACCCCCCCCCCACCAGCTCACTACCTGTATCTTTGGGTGCATCACTCCAAGCAGCTGAACCCAGCCTAATAGCATTTCTTCCGGAATTTCCCCTTATGCATTCCTCCAACATTTAACACTTGACTGGGTTTTCAGATCCAGTGTTAATCCCACTGACACGACACAACCCCAAAAGATTTATTACATGCAAGTATCTTTCTCGAGTTTACTCCTGAATGTAGTTGCAGCCTGTGGAAGTTAAACACCCAGGACTCTTCCCTGAGTCTGCTTGGTCCAAATACTAATTACCAAGGGATAGCATCTGTGTTTTGATTCAGAAAGTGAGGTGTAAAGACTATGTAACTACTAAATATTAAACTTTCTATATTGTTGGGTAGTAGTTTTTCTTGCTGCATCTCTGAAGTCCAGGTGTGATGGAAGGCAGTCACTTAAGGATCCACAGCCCACAAGCCAGAGTCAAGTTAGGTGGGGTTTCAAAGAACAAACACCATGGATATGTTGGTCTTCAGATCTTTCATCTGAGAAACCCTGACTTTCCGGAGATCGCAGGCACGTGGTGTAAAAGCCGAGTGTGAGATTCGGTCTCTCAGTGTGCAGTACTGAATCTATCGTGGGAGTGCCCTCTGTTTGGCTGCGACCTCCTGATTGGACGGCATTCTGGCTCACCCCCAAGCATCAACACACGGCTCCGGCCCAGCACTCTACATACTTAAACATGTCCACTTCACTTTCCTCTTCCCACCCCCTCCACCCCTCCCCAGAGTACAGTACCCATCACTGATGTCACTATGTGCTTCTATCAGTATTTGGCAACATGCTGGTTTAATTTTTCCACGTAGTGACAGTATTCACCCTGTAGAGGGCACACAATGTAACGTAAACCCCTTTAAATTTCTTCCTTCTCCTCTGTTACTAACCACCACAAGTACTGCTGACACCCTCTGATTCCGCTTTGTTTCCGTTGTCGTCTAGCCTACATTCTGTATGTACACTTATTTACATTATTTTGGTAAGTGTAGATTACAGGGACACGCTTTTCATTTCTACAGTGAACCATATTTGTATAATAAGGTTACATTTGCCGTGAAACTGTACACAATTTTCCAAGATGCAATGTTACTTTATTCTAATAAAGGTGTAGATATTGACCTGTCTGTGTCCTCCGTCTAGTTAATGCTTTCTAAAAGCGATGGGATATTTTCAGCTTCGATTTAGACTGAACGCTAAACAGTTTATGGTCTGTATGACACTGTTTACACAGGACTTCTGACGCACATGCCGTTTTTTTAGCCAAATCGTGCGTAAAAGTAGCCCATGTCCTTGACAGAAACTGTTCACCTATAGTGGAGCAACAAAAATAAAAAATATTAGATTTATTTAGTTTTAGAGCCACAGAAGGGAACATAAAACAAATGAAAATGAAATCTTTAAAAAAAGGGGGGGAAAACTGCTCCTTGGCTGCCTGCAGGGAGAGAGGCTACTGCGGGGGGAACACTGGAGTCCCTGTGTGGGTGGGGGGGTGGTGGTGACACAGACACCTCCACTGCGCTTGGGTTTGAGGTCACATGGGACAGTCGTAAATGTGGATGGCGCGGTCATCCCCTGCTGAGATGATTTTGGATCCATCGCCGTTGTAGTTAACGCTCCACACCTGTGGAAGGAAGCAGCAAATTAGCTTCTGCAGGGCATCAATTTCTCATATAGCACTTTGTGTCAGTATCTGCAGAAATCATGCTTAACGACATTTTAATGATTAACATTAACTGGGGGGCAACAGCTGCTCACACCCACGCAGGCGAGCACGTACACAACTGGGGAGGGGGGTCATGTCGGAGTGAGGGAGCCACCAATCCACTAATGGGATCTTAAAACCTCCTAGTCACTGCTGCAGTTTACAGTCACACAAGCGGCACTGCAGTCATGTGGTACTCATGTGGTACTCATGTGGTACTCATGTGGTACTCATGTGGTACTCATTTACTCCTCCCAGTTTTTCCCCACAGACGTCAAACTCTTCTGAAACACATTCATAACTGTTTGGGTTTGAATGATTTTTAGTCACTTCCTTCCCATAAGGAATACTAGTGCCTGATAACACATGCAGAACTCCAGGTACTAACATGTCAATGTTACTGTTCCCCCAGGGTTCACTGTAGGGTAACCGGCTACATTTAATGCAGGGCTAATTTGTTTGGTTGTGTATAATACTAATAGAGGGTTTATCGACGTCCGTTTTCAATGGAAATGTCACCAAAAACAGACTTTCATGGACTGTGTGACACATTCGATCGATCCGTCTGTTTATTTGGGGACTTTTCTCACCGCTGGCCTGCACCAAGACAACGCGCTCTCTCACCTGGTCCTGGTGGTCGAAGAACGTGTTCACGCAGGTCCTGGAGCTGACGTCCCACACCTTAACGCTTTTGTCCGAGGAACTGAAAGCCACGGGAGGGAAAGAAATGTACAAAGTAACGGACCCAACCCAATTCCAGATTTCAAATGTGAAAACTCTTAGGACTGAAATGTTAGAAGTAGGATCTATACCCTGTTTTGGCAGGAAGAAAACCTCAATGAAAACAACAGGAAACTGAATGTATACCCCAGCGGAGCTTAGAAACACAAACAGATCTGGGCCCCACGCAGATGGATCCGAAACACGTCTCTCTGTTCTGGCTTTCAAACTGGACTGATTTATAACATATTGGCCCAAAGTCCCTGAAAAGCCCCCGCCATGCATCTGGCGCGGCCCGAAGCCCCCGCTGCACAAAAAAACGTGAGAGAGAGAGAGAGAGTCACGCGCACACAGACCACGGCTGCCCACCTGGACACGAAGTGCGTGTCGTCGGGGGAGAAGGCCACGTTAAGCACCCAGGAACCATGTCCGCTCAGCGTTCCGGCCAGGTTGGCGTGCTGCCTGCAAGGCAAATATATAAACATATCATTGTGTGATCTTGCGTAAACAAAAAACGGTTGACGTGACATTTTCAGACGCGCGCTCTCTGTCCGCTGGTGGGAGTGTGCTCACCTGTGTGTGCGCACATCAGCGCAGAGGAGAATTGTAAATGCGCGACCGTGTAGAGACAAAAATGACAAGCTGCTGTGTAAATGAGATAAATAACATAAGGCTATTTAGTTTGTTTAGTAAAAGTACAATGTATAGACCTGTTCTTATAGGAAAGGTAACCTTAAATGACTTTTTGTGATCTGGCGCTATATATAAAATATAATTAAATAAAATTATCTTGACCTTCAAGGGAGGGTGGTGTGGCGCCCCCTAATATAATGGTAGGGGAAACATTGGACTATGACACATATAACACGCGTTCAGAGGGTCTCTCGCAGAGGGAAAAGGGTTTGGCCTCTCAGGGCTCCATCGGCTCGGTCCATCCACAGACGTGCAGAGCCAACGTGCCATGCGAGACCGCAGTGCGCCGCTCGGAACGATCGTCAGACGAAAGGCCAGACCACCAAACGAATGAATTCCCAGCCTGGGGAAGCGGCACCTACACGTCGTAGATCTTGATGTAGCCGTCGTCCGAGGCCGTCACCAGCAGCTGGGAGTCAGGAGAGAACGTGAGCGATCGGATGGGCATGGCGTGACCTGCGGGGGGCAGCACCGTCAACTGGGCAGAGACAGCGGTGGTCGCACCAAGGTGCCATCTCTATGGTGAGTATTTAGAATACAGCAGTGATGGAGGTGAGAGCCGGCCACCTTGCCTTCAGGGTTAGCTCACCTTCCAGTGTGTGGAGCAGCTTTCCTGTTGCAATATCGAAGATATTAATAATCCCATCAATGGCACCACTGGCTAAGTATTTCCCATCGGGGCTCTAGGGGGCAGCAGAGAGCGGTTAAAATTCCAACCCGGCACTAGATTTTGTACCTCACTAATCAAAGCAAACTGGTTCAGATACTGCACATTTAATCATCTCCAGGAAACAACCAAAACCCTAATGACATCTGCACTAACAACCTTGCGGTGTTCCAGACCACCGTGCTCTGCTGTCGCCATGGCAGCGCCAGTGCGTGTGGATGTGGCCACGGTGCTCATTTAGAAAGTTTTCACAGAGGACAAAATGGCCAGTATGTGCTGGTTATGTCTCCAGTGCCCTTTCACTGGAACAATCCTGCTCGGATAATTACGCCCAGCAGTTTAATGGAGTGTTTCTCTTTGTGTTGGGTCAACGGGCAGCTCAAAGCACAAACCGGCCTGTTCTGAAAGTGCGGCTTAATGAGCAGTCGGGCTAAATGGCGCCAGAAGGCCGCTCTTCATTTGTTTTAACAGGGGAAAAAAAAACTAACTGAAAACTCCACTTTCCAAACCCAAGCTGGGGCATCCTGGAGATGTGTCTAATCACTCTGGCTGCATGGCACATGTTGCCAGGGGATACGATGGAGTTCCCACAGCCTAAATCAGTGAAGTATATTCTATAGGATACCCTGAAGAGGACACCACTGTGTGTGACCTTTCATTAACCCTACAACCAGACAATTTCTTGTTTCCTTGGGATCAATAAAGCTTCTTATCTTTTCTTATACAACGGAAAAAAATTAAGAGACCACACCAAAATTTTCAGTTTGACTCATTTCTCAATATACGAGCATGCCTCTGTGTAAAATATACATTTTTTTTGCAAACCTCAGCCTGGCTCTTCCCTGCTTCTCATCGATTACTTCTTCCTTACTTTATGGGTCTTCAGTCCTGCTTCTAGCAGCCTGATATGAACTTGCTTCCCATCCCTTTCGAAGGTCACTTGAGGTCATCCTCCAATTTATGAAGCACTGCTAGACAAGTTGACGGTCCACTCTGGCATTAGAAAGTTGCTTCTGCCCTCTACCTGGCTGATTTATGGTCGATCCCAGTGCCTCCTGCTTCACCTTGTTCTTATGTACTGCTGTCTTAGAAACTATGAGCCTGGTAGCAACCTGTCTCAAAGTGTAGCCTTCTGCCAGCAGAGGCAGGATTAAACCAGGATTTAAAAATGCAGAACTAAAAAAATATAGAGTGGTCTCAGTTTTTTTCCAGAGCTGTATCTCATTAGCTGCTGAAGATCTCAAACCACCTGCTGTCAATTCAGCCCAATTTGACCAATGAGTCTCTGAACCCAGCTGGACGTGAAGATGACCAGGCCAAGGACCAGGAGGTCCGTTCTTCATGCCCACTTTCAGACTGAGCATGACAAGATTGGGTGGTATTTCTAACAGGAAGCCAGACTAGCACACTTAATGTAAGGTCAAAAAGCCTGCCACAGTACTAGTTAAAATTACAAGCTACGGAAGGAAAAACCTCACAGCATGAAAGCCAAATCGTCACCTAAAGACAGCAATGGGCTCACCACAGCCAGAAACCTTTGGATTTTCATTTCACAATTCTACATTGAGCTTTAGATGATCGGAATATTAAGTCCTCTAGGCAGAAAAAATACAACTTCATTCCAACCCCAGAAATCTCCCAGAGGACTAATCTCTGCCAAAAAAAGAGATAAATTATTTCTCTTGTGTACTTGACTTTAGCTTACAGTATTTACTAAAAACCACAAAAGGGGAATTTTCTGAGTATTCTGTCACTCTCAGAGACTGTTTGACGACAGTGTTTCCAGAAAAAAAAGGAAGGGACATAAAATCAGGCCACAGGTGGTGGGTTCTGACCCTGAAGGATCCCGATGCAGGGAAGGTTCTGGCCCTACAGTGTTCATCACGACAGACAGCAGTGGAAAACACAGAGAACCACAACTTTAAGGGACGTTCCAGTTCAGCTAAGTAACAGAACAACAGCTTTACTTGAATATGGCCAGTGGGCTGGGGTGTCCAGGCGTTCTGCTTTGGAACGTTGCCTTCTCTTCTCTATCATATCTGACTTTTTAGGTGAACTTGAGACATGAATGGTGGGTGCTGGAGACCGGAAGGTTACCCGCAGAATAACCACATCATCAGCATGACCCGTAACCCCCTAAAATGTTCCAGGGCACCTGGATAAATTGCCTGATACCAAGGAGACTCCAAGCTTTACTCTCAACTGAATATGTGTTTGAGCAAGATGAGATATGCTGAAAGAAGCATTCCAATGTAGCTGTACTCCTACTTGTGCAAACTGCAAATAAAGTTTCATTTCAATATATGACTTTTTGATTTGGACTGAATAAAAATGAA